ATGAGCAAAAATCCCAGAACCACACGGGGGGACCTAGTGAATGACCTGCAGAGAGCTGGGACCAAAGTAACAAAGTCCTACCATCAGTAACACACTACGCCGCCAGGGACTCAAATCCTGCAGTGCCAGACGTGTCCCCCTGCTTAAGCCAGTACATGTCCAGGCCCGTCTGAAGTTTGCTAGAGTGCATTTGGATGATTCAGAAGAGGATTGGGAGAATGTCATATGGTCAGATGAAACCAAAATATAACTTTTTGGTAAAAATTCAACTCGTCGTGTTTGGAGGACAAAGAATGCTGAGTTGCATCCAAAGAACACCATACCTACTGTGAAGCATGGGGGTGGAAACATCATGCTGTGGGGCTGTTTTTCTGCAAAGGGACCAGGACGACTGATCCGTGTAAAGGAAAGAATGAATGGGGCCATGTATCGTGAGATTTTGAGTGAAAACCTCCTTCCATCAGCAAGGGCATTGAAGATGAAACGTGGCTGGGTCTTTCAGCATGACAATGATCCCAAACACACCGCCCGGGCAACGAAGGAGTGGCTTCGTAAGAAGCATTTCAAGGTCCTGGAGTGGCCTAGCCAGTCTCCAGATCTCAACCCCATAGAAAATCTTTGGAGGGAGTTGAAAGTCCGTGTTGCCCAGCGACAGCCCCAAAACATCACTGCTCTAGAGGAGATCTGCATGGAGGAATGGGCCAAAATGAAGACTTACAGAAAACGTTTGACCTGTGTCATTGCCAACAAAGGGTATATAACAAAGTATTGAGAAACTTTTGTTATTGACCAAATACTTATTTTCCACCATAATTTGCAAATAAATTCATAAAAAATCCTACAATGTGATTTTCTGGATTTTTTTTTCTCATTTTGTCTGTCATAGTTGACGTGTACCTATGATGAAAATTACAGGCCCCTCTCATCTTTTTAAGTGGGAGAACTTGCACAATTGGTGGCTGACTAAATACTTTTTTTCCCCACTGTAGGTGACCCCTTCACCTTGACAGGCCTGCTCAATTTGATTGAGAAACAAAATGAGGTGTGCAGCGTTGTAAGATCCAAGTAATGGCCGATCTCCTACCACACCATCTTCAGAGATAGCTGCACACATGGAGATGTTTCCCCCACGTTGTTCAGGCACTTGGACGGTCGCCCGTTGGCTGATGAGGTTCCGCCCACGGAGCCGAGTTTTGGCCAGGTTGAAGCCTGCTTCATCAACAAAGATATACTTGTGATTGTTCACAGCAGCATCAAGCACCATCACCCTCTAAAGATATATTGTGATTTGTTATTTTTACAGTATAGTTCCAACATTATATTGTGAAGTAGCATGTGCATCAAATAGTAACAGTATAGTGCTGTACCTAAACATACTCGGCCCTCAGTTGTTTCACCCAGTCGTTGTTTCTCTCAAAAGGCACAAGGTAAATGTTTTTCATTGATACCTGGTGCCTCTTCAAAATGTGGCCGATTGTTGTTAGGCTGATGGATGCCACATTGGCAAAGTTGTCATCGTTCTCCTCAATGGCCTGCTTTATTTCAGACAGCCGTATGTCATTCCTGGCCCTCGCCATTTCCACCACTGCCCACTCCTACTGGTCAGTCAGCACACGGCCATGGCCACCACCATTGGGTTTTCTGTCATTTCTGAGGATAGAACAGAGTATACTGTCAATAGATCATACTGTAAGAATACTGTAACATGTTTTGTGAATTGACATGCATTAGAATGTCATTTACTGTAAATGTAATGGTAAAGCATAGTGCATATCCTGCAGTCTTACCGGTTTTCTTGGCGAAATGTTCTCATGATCAAATTGGCAGTTGATCTTTTCAGATTGGGGTGAAATAATTTGGCAGACTGCCATGGTAAGGCCTCTGTTTACCACAGTCAATGACGATGGCCCGGACTTCATTAGATACAACAGTTCCCTGACGGGGCCCATGCCCACCTCTTTCATGGGGCCCATGCCCACCTCTTTGACCTCTTAAAGTTTGAAAAAAAACTTTTTGATGATATGTTTTGAGTTTTGTACTAAGAGTTGTGAAATTTTACCACATACTTACGGAAATAGTACCAAAGCGATTAAAAAGCAAGGTTTCCCAAACTCGGTCCACACACACACGTACAGTGGGGAGAACAAGTATTTGATACACTGCCAATTTTGCAGGTTTTCCTACTTACAAAGCATGTAGAGGTCTGTCATTTTTATCAAAGGTACACTTCAACTGTGAGAGACGGAATCTAAAACAAAAATCCAGAAAATCACATTGTATGATTTTTAAGTAATTAATTTGCATTTTATTGCATGACATAAGTATTTGATACATCAGAAAAGCAGAACTTAATATTTGGTACAGAAACCTTTGTTTGCAATTACAGAGATCATACGTTTCCTGTAGGTCTTGACCAGGTTTGCACACACTGCAGCAGGGATTTTGGCCCACTCCTCCATACCTTCTCCAGATCCTTCAGGTTTCGGGGTTGTCGCTGGGCAATACGGACTTTCAGCTCCCTCCAAAGATTTTCTATTAGGTTCAGGTCTGGCGACAGGCTAGGCCACTCCAGGACCTTGAGATGCTTCTTACGGAGCCACTCCTTAGTTGCCCTGGCTGTGTGTTTCGGGTCGTTGTCATGCTGGAAGACCCAGCCATGACCCATCTTCAATGCTCTTACTGAGGGAAGGAGGTTGTTGGCCAAGATCTCGCGATACATGGCCCCATCCATCCTCCCCTCAATACGGTGCAGTCGTCCTGTCCCCTTTGCAGAAAAGCATCCCCAAAGAATTATGTTTCCACCTCCATGCTTCACGGTTGGGATGGTGTTCTTGGAGTTGTACTCATCCTTCTTCTTCCTCCAAACACGGCGAGTGGAGTTTAGATGTGGTCTGATGTCTCAACAGACCACATGACCTTCTCCCATTCCTCCTCTGGATCATCCAGATGGTCATTGGCAAACTTCAGACGGGCATGGACATGCGCTGGCTTGAGCAGGGGGACCTTGCGTGCGCTGCAGGATTTTAATCCATGACGGTGTAGTGTGTTACTAATGGTTTTCTTTGAGACTGTGGTCCCAGCTCTCTTCAGGTCATTGACCAGGTCCTGCCGTGTAGTTCTGGGCTGATCCCTCACCTTCCTCATGATCATTGATGCCCCACGAGGTGAGATCTTGCATGGATCCCCAGACCGAAGGTGATTGACCGTCATCTTGAACTTCTTCATTTTCTAATAATTGCAGCAACAGTTGTTGCCTTCTCACCAAGCTGTTTGCCTATTGTCCTGTAGCCCATCCCAGCCTTGTGCAGGTCTACAATTTTATCCCTGATGTCCTTACACAGCTCTCTGGTCTTGGCCATTGTGGAGAGGTTGGAGTCTGTTTGATTGAGTGTGTGGACAGGTGTCTTTTATACAGGTAACGAGTTCAAACAGGTGCAGTTAATACAGGTAATGAGTGGAGAACAGGAGGGCTTCTTAAGGAAAAACTAACAGGTCTGTGAGAGCCGGAATTCTTACTGGTTGTAAGGTGATCAAATACTTATGTCATGCAATAATATGCTAATTATTTACTTAAAAATCATACAATGTGATTTTCTGATTTTTTTTTAGATTCCGTCTCTCACAGTTGAAGTGTACCTATGATAAAAATTACAGACCTCTACATGCTTTGTAAGTAGGAAAACCTGCAAAATCGGCAGTGTATCAAATACTTGTTCTCCCCACTGTAAGTGTGGACACAAACACACATTTGTTTTGTTATGATTTGATAATACTTTGGTTTGTAGCCAGCCTTACACAATTGTTGTATATGTTGTAAGGTTGTTTCAGTCTCAATAACAAGATACTGCTTTGGCTTCATAATAGTATTTATTAGCAGATTTATTTTTGGGCAAACAATGAAAGTGTACATTTTCATATTAAAAAAGCAGATACATACACTATGATACAACAGAATTTGTACCGCTAAACATTTAACAAAGATCTTAAAAATTCCCTAAAAATAAAATAATATTTATAACTTCTGATGAATTGACAAGACAAATTTCCATAGAACATTTACGTACATTTTAGGAAGACCCCACGTTATGGCTTTGGGCTGTAATGATCCTTCATTTTACTGACTGGAATGAGGCATTCATTTTCTATGGCAAAACTGCTGTTATTTAAAGCTTTATCACATGCAGGTATACAGTAGCTGGATCAGCTTAAATAAGGGCGGAGAGCATCTTATGTTCATTCTATGTCCATTAAACCCTCAACACCAATCAGATCCTCCATCTAACCAGCGGACTGCATTTAACATGATGTAATCATGGTACCATGTAATAACATATTGGTAAACATATTAATAACATTGATTAAAATGTAATGTTAGGTGCAGGACTTTTTTCTTACCATGTGACCTAACCAGGTCCTAGTTATAGGTTTTAGGCTGATGTTTTTTTTGTGTGAACTGCTAGTCCTACATTATTTGTTTGGCCTTAAAAGTTTAGAGATGAATTGAGGCGAGGTTATAGGACAGGTGAAGCCTCTTGGTAGTATGTGGCTGTAAGGTCAAGGTATTGAGGTGTGGAGGTGTTTAGACTAAGGCTTCAGTGAGCATCAGAACTCCTGATCAGGCTGTACTAAGGTCAGTTCAGTGGTGAAGGTGGCGAGGGACACAGGAGGTAGTGCAGTGATGAGAGAGTCAGTTAGCCAATGCCCAAAAAGACCCCTAACCCCTATGCACTTGGGACCTGCAAATACTAAATAGTTACAGGCAATAGGGTGACAATTCCACCTAGTCTATCAGAGGGCAGGGTGGAGCTATTACCATATTGCTTAGGACTAGGGTCTGGAGAATGTATTGGTCAAGAGAAAACCCCTGGCCCTACTTATACCCATCAGATCCTTTCAGATCTATACAAGTGCCTAGGGGTGATTTTGGGACTGGGCCTGTGTCTCACTCTCCAGGCAGAGCTGGAGGTTGGTGGGACCAGGGAGACTCACGGCCCGTTGGCTCATCTGTTGCCCCCAGAGCCGTTGTAGGCGTTGTAGGGTAGAGGGTAGACACTGGAGGCCTGGTTCATCCAGCCGTGGTCCCCTCCTCTTCTCTGGTTCTCCTGCTGCTGCTGCTCTATGTACTGGTTCAGCAGGGCTCCCACCTGCTCCTGGTCCTTAAAGGGACTGGGGCGGAAACTGGCCCGCAGCCATGCCCTGTACTGGAAACAAGACAGACAGAAAATACCATGTTTGATGGAATTAAGTAATTCAATTCAGTTCAGCTCAGCTCAGCTCAATTAGTGTTCTATGGTCCTCCAAGGGTGGGATGTGAGAGCAGAGTGTGCTGGTATCAGAGGAGACTGTGTGGGTGAGAAGTTATTTTTCCATTGTGGTGTAGTTTACCACACTTTCTCTTGGTTTCTTTTCCTTCCCAGTAGATGGTGATAGATGTAGATAGAGGCAGCTACAATCTAAGAAATCTATCTCTAGATCAATCTCTGTGTGTGGTTGGCAAACGGACGGCAGACATTCCTGAAAACGAGGGACTTTCCTCAGCAGCTCAGAGAGCCATAAGAGGTCCAACAGCTGTGACACTGTTGGGTCAGAACTCTCTGACCACGGCAACGGTAAAGAGAAAAAACACACTCACTTTGGCTTTAACAACATTGCTTCTGGGCTTGATCCCAACTTGAGTTCTGTGCATGTAAATCATACATTGATGTCATTGCATTGGTAACTTGTGAAAATGTAAGTTACACATGCTGATCTCAAGACAAGATGTGACCTTCTGTGAGGAGTGTTAGTATCATATCCTTGCACAGACAATGTCCTCTAAAATGGCCCAGTGTCTGTGTTTTCTGGGTTTAGCGGTACACAGGGATTAGTCCTGGTTAGAGGGCCTCGGGGAGGCAGCAGGGGTTGGGTGGGAAACCCCTGGCAGAAGTCCCAGGTCTTTAGCCCAGCGGTCAGTGGGCCTACATAGGGACCAGTGAGAGCTGAGGAGGGGGTGGGGAGAGCTAGCTCTGAATCAGAACTTTAACAGGAACCTGCCTCCACTTCCGTCACTCCTCCTCTGACATTCCTGCTCACACAGTAGGTACGGGGCTCTCAAGCACAAACAGATCTAGGGCCAGCCTAGATTGTAGTGACTGTTCAAGTGATGTCACCCAATTCCATTGAAGCATGTAGAAAAGTACACTTTACACAAGAAATTGTATTTGACCGATATTGTTTTTTTATTCCTTTTATTCATGTGTTCTATTTCTATGTCAGTCCTGGTGATTCTGTAAGTGTGACACACACTATGTTAATTGAACATTACCCAGCCCTCCTTTTATCAGAGTGGTACCACGGCCTGTGGGACATGCTCCATCTTGCCCTTCCAGTAAAGCTCTAACCATTTAGGTCCAACAGAGCATCCAGATTTGCGGTTTCTGGAGGGAATCCAGGAAATAACCATCTAATAATTTGTTGTGTAACACCATATACTTTGCGAAATAGGACGAACTGAAAGTGTCTCTGAAAGTAATATTTGGAATTATGTTCAAAAGTATTCACTGTTTTGTGCATTTCAGTAACGCAATATTAATACAAAGAGGGAACTGTGGATTATAAGGAGACAAATAAAATGTTCACACTAGTGTGAGTCTAATGAACCTAACCATTCAGTTTCTTTTCGATTCAGTTGTCACATTCTTTTGGCACCTGTGTTTTCACTAATATAGGTTATGCAGTTTAGATATGTTCCACACCACTGGACCTACAGTATAGACATCATTTATAAACATTTTGGAAATGCAGTGAGAGATCAAAACAACCACACAGTTCGACATATTATTGTTCTGACATGAACATTGCTACCCTTCACAGAACACAACAAACATGGATGTCATTTGAAGACCGGCCGAGTATAGAAAGAGAAGTGCAGTTTAAGTTATTTTGGGTCAGACTTCCACACAGGACAGAGGGATTGATCAGTGTAGTTCTCACGCTTGCTATGGGAAGACATGGCTGACATTTACAACAATGGAACAGCACATCACATGCTTCTGGTAGACATGTCTTGGATGGAGTGGTGGGTGGCTACTAGTTTCAATGCATAGCCACCAATGTGAATAGTTCAACAAAATATTGTAAGGTGTACTTATTTGGGGATTTACTTATAAATAACCTATACACGACTGTAATAAATTATAGGTAAACAAACTAGTGGTACATTATTTACATTAGATGGGTAATCATGATATACAGTATAATTGTAATGTTATATACAAAATAGTGTTACAGACTTCCTATCATAAATTCAGGAGTTCCAGATGAACCAAGAAAGTCCCATTCTGGTAATAGAGAAGAGTTGTGTTCAGGTGTGTCGCAGTGACGTATGTTTCCTCCCACACAACCGTCAGGTGTCACAGCGACTCCCACACATTACCACCATCCATAACCAGCCATACAACATACTCAAACCTCTTTACAAGAATATGCACTGTGTTACAAAAATACACACCAAGGAAGGTACAATGAACAGTTAGACAACACATGATAAGGACAGACGGGGGACTTGAGTCCCAAACCCAGCTTTGAGTCAGACTCTCCACCATCCCTTTACCAGTTTTCACATCCGGATCATCAATTCATGAGAAAAGGATTACTCAAAATTGGAACAAATGATGTCCATTTCAGTTTTGTTTGCTTGAAAACGTCTCTCTGCTTTGAATCCATTCAAAGTAAGTCAAAGTCAAAACTGAGGCACAGTGACCTGGACACAACCCCTAAGACACTATCACCCTGAACCTTAACTTACACTCAACAAAACACCCATTTTAAGTAAAGTCAACTTCTACGTAATAATGCATTTATAATCATTTTTAACAACAGACATACTAACTTAGTTGTATCAGTGTCGTGAAATGAAAAAAAGATACAATTGATCACCAACCCTATATACAGTATAACACTATAGATCAAACTATTGGGATGACAAGAGCAATTTCTCTCTAAGACACAGTCATGGGAAAAGCATGAAGAAAGAAATCCCATTTCCCCTTTGACCCTCAAAATCACTGGCAAATCACCCAAACAATAAGAAAATAACAAATATTTTTTTATTCTTTGGTGAAGACATGTTGCAAGCCTCTGACAGTAATTACAGTCACGTGATGGCCAGTAGCAGGCTAATGCAATTTCAGCAAGCCCCTCCAGTTCCCCTTCTGTATACTACAAACACGTACTGAGTACCACTGGCTGGGTGCATCTCACCAGCTAGAGACTCAAAGCCCTTCTCAGCCACCTCCATGCACAGCTCTCTTTGCAGCATGGTCTAGAAACGTTTGTGTGTGTGTGTGTGCGCGTGCGTGTGCATGTCACACATCTTTTCACAGGTATGAAGTCTGATGTATGTGGAAATAGCTGCCCCATAACAGGAAAGCCATTTTCTCACCCCACTACATCTTGAATGTGTGAATAATATGCAGATGGCTATAAATAAACTGACAACACAGACACTCACTTTGAAACCAGCAAACACTTTAGTGTAGGTCTAGTGAAATGAGAGTGGAGGAGGGTGAAGTCACGGTTAATATGCATGATAATGGCACTTCTAATTAAATAACTTATGTATTTCTGGTGGCCCAGACGAAAGTCACATAGAAACAGTTTACACAGGATCTTGTTGTCTTCTGTTGGCCTAAATACATTGAGGGTTCATAAACCACCTCAGGCATAACAGCAAGTCCTGACAAAGCCATCAGCCATCACAGAGATCATCTCCCAGATGACCAATGGGCAGCATGATGAGTTTAGGATGATCCCTGGTATGTCATATAAAGTTGAGACAGGCAACCAGGAAGGATGAGCTCCAGGTTTACTGTCAGAGACCCACCTCCATCCACAGAAGTGAAAGTAAACCAAAAGTATGAACCTGACAGGGCAGGAGTGGCATGGCCTTGTAAAATACAGTTGCATCATTAACTGATGGCAGCTGGATGATGACACATTCCTGTGACTCTGTACTTTGAGTGGGAGTAAGCTAACAGTTTGGCTTCCGAGTGGGTGTTAGAGAAAAGGTGGGCCTTAACCGGCATTCTTCTTACTCATTGAAATTGTTTACCGTTGATAGGCCTGAACTATGCAAGTCTAAATATTACGCCTGAGCTGTGTTACATGGTGTTTTTTTGCCCCCGAGTAATTGAATTGCGGGAAGCTGTGCCATTAAACCCCTACAACTCATCCAGAACGCCGCAGCCCGTCTGGTGTTCAACCTTCCCAAGTTCTCTCACGTCACCCCGCTTTTCCGCACACTCCACTGGCTTCCAGTTGAAGCTTGCATCTGCTACAAGACCATGGTGCTTGCCTACGGAGCTGTGAGGGGAACGGCACCTCCGTACCTTCAGGCTCTGATCAGTCCCTACACCCAAACAAGGGCATTGTGTTCATCCACCTCTGGCCTGCTGGCTCCCCTACCTCTGCGGAAGCACAGTTCCCGCTCATCCCAGTCAAAACTGTTCGCTGCTCTGGCACCACAATGGTGGAACAAGCTCCCTCACGACGCCAGGACAGCGGAGTCACTCACCACCTTCCGGAGACACTTGAAACCCCACCTCTTTAAGGAATACCTGGGATAGGATAAAGTAATCCACCCTTACCCCACCCCAAAAAAAAAATAATTTTGTCAAGTGGTTGTCCCACTGGCTATCATAAGGTGAATGCACCAATTTGTAAGTCGCTCTGGATAAGAGCGTCTGCTAATTGACGAAAATGTAAAGATTTAAAATAATAATAATAATTTGGGGGGTGCTTATATTTGTCCTGTTTTTTTTTTGCATATCCCAACTCCCCCTGAGACTCCCGCAGGGAGTGGGCGTCATGGCCAGGGTCGCCATTGTACAGCGTACCTGGAGCATTAAGGGTTAAGTGCCTTGCTCAAGGGCACAGCGACTATATTTTTTTGGTTAGAGGACATCATTATGTTATCTATACAGGGTGTGTGTGTATTGTGTGTTTTAATGTGTGTGTACCTACCTCTGTGACTTGGTTCATCTGGTACTCCTGTAGTTGCTGTTGGAAGCCATAGTTCGGGCCTACGAAGGAACGCACAGCCTTGACAGCCGACAGACACTCCTCCCAGCTGTAGGTGGTGACGGTCATCAGGTAGGCCACCACCATGGTAGTGCTACGGGACACACCAGCCAGGCTGCATTATGGGACAGGGACAGGGAGAGCACAGTCAGGAGTGGTCAGGTACGGTCAACAGAAAGTTAGCGGTTTATGGTTAGGTGGTGTACGTACCAGTGCACCAGACAGGCCCCTCCATTTAGACGACATTCATGGATGAACCTGATGCTCTCTTTGAAATGCTGTGACCTGCAAAGACAAAAATACATGACCTTATAAGTACAAGTACAGAATAAACAGTGTAGTGTAAAAAGTGTATCACTGATCATATCAGGATGTGGATTGTCTTATCATACAGTGAGGGAAAAAAGTATTTGATCCCCTGCTGATTTTGTACGTTTGCCCACTGACAAAGAAATGATCAGTCCTATAATTTTAATGGTAGGTTTATTTGAACAGTGAGAAACAGAATAACAACAACAAAAATCCAGAGAAACGCATGTCAGAAATGTTATAAATTGATTTGCATTTTAATGAGGGAAATAAGTATTTGACCCCCTCTCAATCAGAAAGATTTCTGGCTCCCAGGTGTCTTTTATACAGGTAACGAGCTGAGATTAGGAGCACACTCTTAAAGGGAGTGCTCATAATCTCAGCTTGTTACCTGTTTAAAAGACACCTGTCCACAGAATCAATCAATCAATCAGATTCCAAACTCTCCACCATGGCCAAGACCAAAGAGCTCTCCAAGGATGTCAGGGACAAGATTGTAAACCTACACAAGGCTGGAATGGGCTACAAGACCATCGCCAAGCAGCTAGGTGAGAAGGTGACAACAGTTGGTGCGATTATTCGCAAATGGAAATGTCAATCTCCCTCGGCCTTGGGCTCCATGCAAGATCTCACCTCGTGGAGTTGCAATGATCATGAGAACGGTGAGGAATCAGCCCAGAACTACACGGGAGGATCTTGTCAATGATCTCAAGGCAGCTGGGACTATAGTCACCAAGAAAACAATTGGTAACACACTACGCCGTGAAGGACTGAAATCCTGCAGCGCCCGCAAGGTCCCCCTGCTCAAGAAAGCACATATACAGGCCCGTCTGAAGTTTGCCAATGAACATCTGAATGATTCAGAGGACAACTGGGTGAAAGTGTTGTGGTCAGATGAGACCAAAATGGAGCTCTTTGGCATCAACTCAACTCGCCGTGTTTGGAGGAGGAGGAATGCTGCCTATGACCCCAAGAACACCATCCCCACCGTCAAACATGGAGGTGGAAACATTATGCTTTGGGGGTGTTTTTCTGCTAAGGGGACAGGACAACTTCACCACATCAAAGGGACGATGGACGGGGCCATGTCCCGTCAAATCTTGGGTGAGAACCTCCTTCCCTCAGCCAGGGCATTGAAAATGGGTCGTGGATGGGTATTCCAGCATGACAATGACTCAAAACACACGGCCAAGGCAACAAAGGAGTGGCTCAAGAAGAAGCACATTAAGGTCCTGGAGTGGCCTAGCCAGTCTCCAGACCTTAATCCCATAGAAAATCTGTGGAGGGAGCTGAGGGTTTGAGTTGCCAAACGTCAGCCTCAAAACCTTAATGACTTGGAGAAGATCTGCAAAGAGGAGTGGGACAAAATCCCTCCTGAGATGTGTGCAAACCTGGTGGCCAACTACAAGAAACATCTGACCTCTGTGATTGCCAACAAGGGTTTTGCCACCAAGTACTAAGTCATGTTTTGCAGAGGGGTCAAATACTTATTTCCCTCATTAAAATGCAAATCAATTTATAACATTTTGACATGCGTTTTTCTGGATTTGTTTGTTGTTATTCTGTCTCTCACTGTTCAAATAAACCTACCATTAAAATTATAGACTGATCATTTCTTTGTCAGTGGGCAAACGTACAAAATCAGCAGGGGATCAAATACTTTTTTCCCTCACTGTAGGTGAGACTAAGGCTGATAAGGTGACCATATTACCGCCACACCCGCAGTCACGAGTCACGGTAATTAGGCTTCTCCAAGCTCTGATGCTGCTGATGGTCATTAGTAGCCTACCAAACTTGCTAACTGCTTGGTACTCAGCACTCTATTGTCCCTCTAATCAATCTGACATAAATGAAAATCTAATAGAAAATCTAATCAAACACTTTATGAGAGCCCATGAGCTTATGTTGCGCAACATTTCTATAGGCTATGCAATTGCATGAGAAAACAGAGTGATGGCTCTATTAAAAAGAGGCGGATCCCATCAGCTTTCTATAGGCTAGTCCTACTATATTTATTTCTCAAATTTCCTAATATTAAGCACATTGCCTCTCTTTACAACAGGAGTATAGCCTACCTGGCTGGCATGAAAATGAATCACATGAATAGCGTCCTCCATTCGCTGTTTAAGTGCAGAGATTCCTCCTTTTTTTCTGCACATTTCTAGACAGGTGCATGATAAATCAAAACAAATTTCACACAGATATTATTTAGTATATGTAAAGACAAGATTAAATCAAGAATAGTCTGATGGGTGACAATATTAGCCTATCACTTGTGAATGATATATTATCACTTGTGAATGATGCCCAGCTTAAGTCAAGAAACAGCGCATACCTTTTTTTGTGTGACTTTTTCAAATCATAGTCATGTAGCCTAGCCCATAGGCCTATATGTTTTGATAAGGTTTGTATCACAACTAAAGTGGCCAAATAACTTCTTAAAATTAAGCACATTCATCCGCTTTACAACGGGTCTAACTGGAATACATATGCTGCGCGTGAGTTTCAAGTTTGGGGAAGATAATTTCCACCATAAAAATGCACCTTTATAATAAAAGCATTACATTCATAATTGCATTTGCTGTTACATTTGAAAATGGTGTTTTCCTGCTAATGGAACATTCGCGCTTATAGCCTACTGCCGTGTGCGCATTGCTGCGCATATTATGTGAAGAAATAGTCTAATAGTTTATCAACATTTTAAGCGAAACGTTCTGATCTGTTGCGTCAGGCTCATTGCTTAAAAAAGGTTTTTTGATGCTAGTGGTTGTATTAATTTGGAATCTATCGCATCCCACAACTGTCCCAGACTATGTTTTGAATATTTATTTCTCTCACAGAATAGAATAGGTCAACTTTTGTACTATGGGGGATAGTAGATTGACATAGGCTAGTGCTTTTTCGGTTCGTTTGGACTACTCATCTTGTTTGATGACAAAAAGTCAAAAGTTTGGACACAGCTACTCATTCAAGGATTTTCTTTATTTGTAATTTTTTTTAAAACATTTTTTACAATTTTGAGATTCTTCAAATAGCCACCCTTTGCCTTGATGACAGCTTTGCACACTCTTGGCATTCTCTCAACCAGCTTCATGAGGTAGTGATAAAGAAATGTGTGAGTAAGATACAGTGGGGAAAAAAAGTATTTAGTCAGCCACCAATTGTGCAGGTTCTCCCACTTAAAAAGATGAGAGAGGCCTGTAATGTTCATCATAGGTACACGTCAAGTATGACAGACAAATTGAGGAAAGAAAATCCAGATAATCACATTGTAGGATTTTTAATGAATTTATTTGCAAATTATGGTGGAAAATAAGTATTTGGTCACCTACAAACAAGCAAGATTTCTGGCTCTCACAGACCTGTAACTTCTTCTTTAAGAGGCTCCTCTGTCCTCCACTCGTTACCTGTATTAATGGCACCTGTTTGAACTTGTTATCAGTATAAAAGACACCTGTCCACAACCTCAAACAGTCACACTCCAAACTCCACTATGGCCAAGACCAAAGAGCTGTCAAAGGACACCAGAAACAAAATTGTAGACCTGCACCAGGCTGGGAAGACTGAATCTGCAATAGGTAAGCAGCTTGGTTTGAAGAAATCAACTGTGGGAGCAATTATTAGGAAATGGAAGACATACAAGACCACTGATAATCTCCCTCGATCTGGGGCTCCACGCAAGATCTCACCCCGTGGGGTCAAAATGATCACAAGAACGATGAGCAAAAATCCCAGAACCACACGGGGGGGACCTAGTGAATGACCTGCAGAGAGCTGGGACCAAAGTAACAAAGACTACCATCAGTAACACACTACGCCGCCAGGGACTCAAATCCTGCAGTGCCAGACGTGTCCCCCTGCTTAAGCCAGTACATGTCCAGGCCCGTCTGAAGTTTACTAGAGTGCATTTGGATGATCCAGAAGAGGATTGGGAGAATGTCATATGGTCAGATGAAACCAAAATATAACTTTTTGGTAAAAACTCAACTCGTCGTGTTTGGAGGACAAAGAATGCTGAGTTGCATCCAAAGAACACCATACCTACTGTGAAGCATGGGGGTGGAAACATCATGCTTTGGGGCTGTTTTTCTGCAAAGGCACCAGGACGACTGATCCGTGTAAAGGAAAGAATGAATGGGGCCATGTATCGTGAGATTTTGAGTGAAAACCTCCTTCCATCAGCAAGGGCATTGAAGATGAAACGTGGCTGGGTCTTTCAGCATGACAATGATCCCAAACACACTGCCCGGGCAACGAAGGAGTGGCTTCGTAAGAAGCATTTCAAGGTCCTGGAGTGGCCTAGCCAGTCTCCAGATCTCAACCCCATAGAAAATCTTTGGAGGGAGTTGAAAGTCTGTGTTGCCCAGCGACAGCCCCAAAACATCACTGCTCTAGAGGAGATATGCATGGAGGAATGGGCCAAAATACCAGCAACAGTGTGTGAAAACCTTGTGAAGACTTACAGAAAACGTTTGACCTGTGCCATTGCCAACAAAGGGTATATAACAAAGTATTGAGAAACTTTTGTTATTGACCAAATACTTATTTTCCACCATAATTTGCAAATAAATTCATAAAAAATCCTATAATGTGATTTTCTGTAGAAAAAAAATCTCATTTTGTCTGTCATAGTTGACGTGTACCTATGATGAAAATTACAGGCCTCTCTCATCTTTTTAAGTGGGAGAACTTGCACAATTGGTGGCTGACTAAATACTTTTTTTCCCCACTGTATGACTAAAATGTCACACCCTCAGTTAAACTAATTATTAATGACAAATTATTACACCCTGAAACTGTGTGAAATGTGTTAGAATGTGTGAGCGTAGGGCAAGTTAAGATTATGACATTGTGTTACTACACTGCTCAAAAAAATAAAGGGAACACTAAAATAACACATCCTAGATCTGAATTAATGAAATAATCTTATTAAATACTTTTTTCTTTACATAGTTGAATGTGCTGACAACAAAATCACACAAAAATTATCAATGGAAATCAAATTGATCAACCCATGGAGGTCTGGATTTGGAGTCACCCTCAAAATGAAAGTGGAAAACCACACTACAGGCTGATCCAACTTTGATGTAATGTCCTTAAAACAAGTCAAAATGAGGCTCAGTAGTGTGTGTGGCCTCCACGTGCCTGTATGACCTCCCTACAACGCCTGGGCATGCTCCTGATGAGGTGGCGGATGGTCTCCTGAGGGATCTCCTCCCAGACCTGGACTAAAGCATCCGCCAACTCCTGGACAGTCTGTGGTGCAATGTGGCGTTGGTGGATGGAGCGAGACATGATGTCCCAGATGTGCTCAATTGGATTCAGTTCTGGGGAACGGGCGGGCCAGTCCATAGCATCAATGCCTTCCTCTTGCAGGAACTGCTGACACACTCCAGCCACATGAGGTCTAGCATTGTCTTGCATTAGGAGGAACCCAGGGCCAACCGCACCAGCATATGGTCTCACAAGGGGTCTGAGGATCTCATCTCGGTACCTAATGGCAGTCAGGCTACCTCTGGCGAGCACATGGAGGGCTGTGCGGCCCACCAAAGAAATGCCACCCCACACCATGACTGACCCACCGCCAAACCGGTCATGCTGGAGGATGTTGCAGGCAGCAGAACGTTCTCCACGGCGTCTCCAGACTCTGTCACGTCTGTCACATGTGCTCAGTGTGAACCTGCTTTCATCTGTGAAGAGCACAGGGCGCCAGTGGCGAATTTGCCAATCTTGGTGTTCTCTGGCAAATGCCAAACATCCTGTACGGTGTTGGGCTGTAAGCACAACCCCCACCTGTGGACGTCGGGCCCTCATACCACCCTCATGGAGTCTGTTTCTGACCGTTTGAGCAGACACATGCACATTTGCGGCCTGCTGGAGGTCATTTTGCAGGGCTCTGGCAGTGCTCCTCCTGCTCCTCCTTGCACAAAGGCGGAGGTAGCAGTCCTGCTGCTGGGTTGTTGCCCTCCTACAGCCTCCTCCACGTCTCCTGATGTACTGGCCTGTCTCCTGGTAGCGCCTCCATGCTTTGGACACTACACTGACAGACACAGCAAACCTTCTTGCCACAGCTCGCATTGATGTGCCATCCTGGATGAGCTGCACTACCTGACCCACTTGTGTGGGTTGTCGACTCCGTCTCATGCTACCACTAGAGTGAAAGCACCGCCAGCATTCAAAAGTGACCAAAACATCAGCCAGGAAGCATAGGAACTGAGAAGTGGTCTGTGGTCACCACTTGCAAAACCAGTCCTTTATTGGGGGTGTCTTGCTAATTGCCTATAATTTCCACCTGTTGTCTATTCCATTTGCACAACAGCATGTGACATTTATTGTCAATCAGTGTTGCTTCCTAAGTGGACAGTTTGATTTCACAGAAGTGTGATTGACTTGGAGTTACATTGTGTTGTTTAAGTGTTCCCTTTATTTTTTTGAGCAGTGTATTTAGCAATGCCAGTAGGAGTTAGACCAGACAACAAAGGACAAGGAGAACTGTCTACAGACAATTGAGAAACCAAGATAAAGAGGCCTCCCAATTTAGGGAGGAGAGAAACCGTTAGGCTTGGAAGAGAGTATGAAATATGTTGCAGGATATTGTGAGGACGGCGATAACTAAGGAATGCAGCCTGCCCGAGCAGGGAGTAGATTATAATAAGAACATGTGTGTGTGTGTATGTACAGTGAGGGAAAAAGTATTTTATCCCCTGCTGATTTTGTATGTTTGCCCACTGACAAAGACATTATCAGTCTATAATTTTAATGGTAGGTTTATTTGAATAGTGAAAAACAGAATAACAACAAAAAAATCCAGAAAAACACATGTAAGAAATGTTTTTACATTTTCATTTTAATGAGGGAAATAAGTATTTGGCCCCTCTGCAAAACATTACTTAGTACTTGGTGGCAAAACCCTTGTTGGCAATCACAGAGGTCAGACGTTTCTTGTAGTTGGCCACCAGGTTTGCACACATCTCAGGAGGGATTTTGTTCCACTCCTCTTTGCAGATCTTCTCCAAGTCATTAAGGTTTCGAGGCTGACGTTTGGCAACTCGAACCTTCAGCTCCCTCCACAGATTTTCTATGGGATTAAGGTCTGGAGACTGGCTAGGCCCCTCCAGGACCTTAATGTGCTTCTTCTTGAGCCAGTCCTTTGTTGCCTTGGCCGTGTGTTTTGGGTCATTGTCATGCTGGAATACCCATCCACGACCCATTTTCAATGCCCTGGCTGAGGGAAGGAGGTTCTCACCCAAGATCTGACGGTCCATCGTCCCTTTGATGCGGTGAAGTTGTCCTGTCCCCTTAGCAGAAAAACACCCCCAAAGCATAATGTTTCCACCTCCATGTTTGACAGTGGGGATGGTGTTCTTGGGGTCATAGGCAGCATTCCTCCTCCTGCAAACACGGCGAGTTGAGTTGATGCCAAAGAGCTTGATTTTGGTCTCATCTGACCACAACACTTTCACCCAGTTCTCCTCTGAATCATTCAGATGTTCATTGGCAAACTTCAGACGGGCATGTATATGTGCTTTCTTGAGCAAGGGGACCTTGTGGGCGCTGCAGGATTTCAGTCCTTCACGGCGTAGTGTGTTACCAATTGTTTTCTTGGTGACTATGGTCCCAGCTGCCTTGAGATCATTGACAAGATCCTCCCGTGTAGTTCTGGGCTGATTCCTCACCGTTCTCATGATCATTGCAACTCCACGAGGTGAGATCTTGCATGGAGCCCCAGGCCGAGGGAGATAGACAGTTATTTTGTGTTTCTTCCATTTGCGAATAATCGCACCAACTGTTGTCACCTTCTCACCAAGCTGCTTGGCGATGGTCTTGTAGCCCATTCCAGCCTTGTGTAGGTCTACAATCTTGTCCCTGACATCCTTGCAGAGCTCTTTGGTCTTGGCCATGGTGGAGAGTTTGGAATCTGATTGATTGATTGCTTCTGTGGACAGGTTTCTTTTATACAGGTAACAAGCTGAGATTAGGAGCACTCCCTTTAAGAGTGTGCTCCTAATCTCAGCTCGTTACCTGTATAAAAGACACCTGGGAGCCAGAAATCTTTCTGATTGCGAGGGGGTCAAATACTTATTTCCCTCATTAAAATGCAAATCAATTTATAACATTTTTGACATGCATTTTTCTGGATTTTTTTGTTGTTATTCTGTCTCTCACTGTTCAAATAAACCTACCATTAAAATTATAGATTGATCATTTCATTGTCAGTGGGCAAACGTACAAAATCAGCAGGGGATCAAATACTTTTTCCCCTGTATGACGTGTGTGTATAAAAGATGGACTCTGAAATTGTGATAACAGAATTTTCTGGGCAGAATTCTCTGAATAAAGACCTGGCTATTGCACTGAGGCTCTGTCTGTTTCTTGATCCAAAAGCCTTACAACCTTTTGGGAGACGCACAGAGACACTGAAATAGTTAGTTAATAAATTATCTTAACAGGTAGTCACCTGGAATGCATTTCAATTAACAGGTGTGCCTTCTTAAAAGTTAATTTGTGGAATTTCTTTATTTCTTAATGCGTTTGAGCCAATCAGTTGTGTTGTGACAAGGTGGGAGGGGGGGGGGGGGGGACAGTCCATCATTACTTTAAGACATGAATGTCAGTCAATACGGAACATTTCAAGAACTTTGAAAGTTTCTTCAAGTGCAGTCGCAAAAATCATCAAGCGCTATGATGAAACTGGCTCTCATGAGGACCGCCACAGGAATGGAAGACCCAGAGATACCTCTGCTGCAGAGGATAAGTTCATTAGAGTTACCAGTCTCAGAAATTGCAGCCCAAATAAATGCTTCACAGAGTTCAAGTCACAGACACATCTCAACATCAACTGTTCAGAAGGGACTGTGTGAATCAGGCCTTCATGGTTGAAACCACTACTAAAGGACACCAATAAGAAGAAGAGACCTGCTTGGGCCAAGAAACACGAGCACGAACACGGTCCTTTGGTCTGGAGTCCAAATTGGCAATTTTTGGTTCCAACTGCCGTGTCTTGTGAGACGCTGTGTGAGTGAACGGATGATCTCCGCATGTTTAGTTCCCACCGTAAAGCATGGAGGAGGAGGTGTTATGGTGTGGGGATGCTTTACTGGTGACACTGTCTGTGATTTATTTAAGGCACACTTAACCAGCAAGGCTACCACAGCATTCTGCAGCGATACGCCATCCCATCTGGTTTGGGCTTAGTGGGACTATCATTTGTATTTCAACAAGACAATGACCCAACACACCTCCAGGCTGTGTAAGGGCTATTTTACCAAGAAGGAGAGTGATGGAGTGCTGCATCAGATGACCTGGCCTCCACAATCCCCCGACCTCAACCAAATTATGATCCCTTAACTATGATTCCTTATTGAGATGGTTTGGGATGAGTCGGTGCGCAGAGTGAAGGAAAGGCAGCCAACAAGTGCTCAGTATATGTGGGAACTCCTTCAAGACTGTTGGAAAAGCATTCCAGGTGAAGCTGGTTGAGAGAATGCCAAGAGTGTGCAAAGCTGTCATCAAGGCAAAGGGTGGCTACTTGAAGAATCTCAAATCTAAAATATATTTTGATTTGTTTAATACTTTTTTGGTTACTACATGATTCCATAAGTGTTATTTCATAGTTTTGATGTCTTCACTATTATTTTCTAATGTAGAAAATAGTAAAAATAAAGAAAAACCCTTGAATGAGTAGGTGTGTCCAAACCTTTGACTGGTACCGTAGCCTTTGAGAAAGACCCAATCACGTGATGGAGAGCCATGTGATTGAGAGGTGCTTCGGAGCGCGCAGCCAGGAGAAGGGAATTATAATTATTATATTCAGCCCAAGGGCACAACGGCCACTGGCCAAAAATACATGGATTTTTTTAGGGGGCATTTCAGCCACACAAAGGGGATGCTGCTGGGAATTTCGAGGCATTATCATGTGCTTGTGAAATTGTGAATGAGAGACTGATGAAGTGTGTACAGACTGCGCAAAAAACAAAACAGAGCTCATGCCTTTCATGCAACTTTTTTCAAATCATAATTTGAGTCCCATCATGCAGCCTTAGAATGTATTAAAAATCAAAACATATAGCCCAACATTTGTATCACAACTAAAGTTACATAAATAACTCTAAATTAAGCATACAGGAGTACCTGTTTCTTTGTTAACCGCTCAACACAAAATAGCCGCATATGCACACTCCCTCAAATCGTTTGGAGAGAATATCCTATTTTATTCAGCTATGTTCAATTGTATTCTTCATGCTATGAAATTATATAAAATAATGCCACGGAATTCTAAGCAAATCTTGTCTACTAAATGAACTAGTGTAGCCCACACCAATATGGCATAGCCAGATCAGGGCCTAACATAAGAACAACTAAGAGTATGCTATTCTGTTCTTCTGAAATAGACTACATTTTCTTCATATCATGTTTCTTTAGACCTGTCTAAAATAAATAATGGATTTATTGTGATGGTGTAGGCTATATTACATGGATTTATTAGACTTTTTTAAATGTAGATGTTCCAAAAGTCTGCATCAGTGGCTTGTAGGCTATGTGTGGAAGCCAGGAGAAGCTCAAATGTGTTTATGTTAATTAACAGTCAATTACCGTGGAACCGGCAGTAATTTGCTTGACAATCACCGGCTGACAAAATATAATGACCGCCACAGCCCTAGGTGAGACCAGATCTATAAATAGATTTCAGTTCAGATTTTATGGGATATGAGAAAGAACAGGAAGAAGTGAAACTAAGGTGTAAAAGTCATCTGGATTCCATCTCTGCACAGCACGTTCCTTCAATCCGTTTAATCTCAGTCATGATGTCCAGATAGATACCTGTCCTGTCTGATACCCAAGTAACCATGTATCTGTGTCCAATCATCACATCACTGGGATGTCCCAGGGCAAATTTGACAGTTTAGTCATATAGCAGATGCTCTAATCCAGAGCGACTTACATTAGTGCATTAGTAAATTTTTCATAAACAAAGTAGTTATCAACAAAGTCAGTGCTAGTAGGAAAAGACGCATAACGATGTTATGGAGGGGGAAGGAATGGGTAGCTTACTCTCGAGGTGGTGGTGGAAGTGATCTCCCCTATACAGTTGTCTTGTTTAGTAGCACTCTCCACTGGACACTACTAGGAGAACCTAGAAGTATTTTCTACTCAACTTTCATTGTCATCCAAGAAAGTCATAATATCTCTCTCACTACCCGTTGGTTTGTCAATTCATGCACCTTTTTTGGACTGTGAGGTAATGAGAGTATAGGGGACTCCTATACTGCTTCCCTCCTGGACATTACAACCACTATCATTCCATCTTTAGAGATCATCTTTTCATGTAGATCAATACAGCATACCCCAACTAATGTTCTCCCTCCGTCTACCCTATACTGTGACTTGATCCGTGTTTTGGTGTTGGTGTATGACTACCACTCCAAACACTATTGGAAATAGTAGTGAAGCATTGTGCAATAGGAGAGTCACATGGTGGGGAGGATTGTCCTCTAACAGCAAAGGCTGCTTGGTTACCCAATCCACTCAACAGACAGGGGCTAAAATAGATGGATTGCACGTTCCCTCCTCACTTGGAGCCAAACTCTTGCTGAAAGATGTCTCCTCAGCACTTTTCTAATTCTTTCTGGTCAGCGGTTTCCGGCTATCTTGTTAAATGTGCAGAAATGTATTATGTGGTGATTATTTGGTGTTTTGAAAGGCTGAACTCCAAATGAAAACAAAAAAAGAATTAGGATCTTACACTGAGTTTACAAAACATTAAGAACACCTGCTCTTTCCATGACATAGACTGACCAGGTGAATCCAGGTGAAATCTATGGTCACCTGTTAAATCCACTTCAATCAGTGTCGATGAAGGGGAGGAGACAGGTTAAATAATAGTTTTTAAGCCTTGAGACATGGATTGTGTATGTGTGCCATGGGTGAATGGGCAAGACAACATATTTAAGTGCCTTTGAAATGGGTATGGTAGTAGGTGCCAGGCGCACCGGTTTGTGTCAAGAACTGCAACGATGCTGGGTTTTTCACGCTCAACAGTTTCTCGTGTGTATCAAGAATGGTCCACCACCCAAAGGACTTTCAGCCAACTTGACACAACTGTGGGAAGCATTGGAGTCAACATGGGTCAGCATACCTGTGGAATGCTTTCGACACCTTGTAGAGTCCATGCCCCGACGAATTGAGACTTTTCTGAGGGAAAAAGGACCGGGGGTGGGTGCAACTCAATATTAGGAAGGTGTTCCTAATGTTTGGTACACTCAGTGTATATTCACAAATGAAGGACAGCGGCAAACTGTATGGTACTTTCAAAATACAGTTTATGGCTGTATCCAAACAAAGACTCTGTGGTGCTTTAGTTTTGTGATATCTGGTAACTGAATATATAGGACATGTCCACCTGATTCTAATTCTTGGTTCTTGAGTGTTTAATAAAACAACATGAAGTGGGGGTCAGGTCAGCATCCTACCACAATAATTTCACACACTCTCAGAGACTCATCAGGAGCTCACAGATAGAGGCCCCCAGTCCTAGCCCCTAGGGCCCCTAGCCATGTCAGTCCCTGGCCTGGTCTCTAGGAGCGGGGGACAGGGGGACGTGATGAAACATGCGGGGCAACCGTTAGTCCTGTTTTCCCAGCCTAGGGATTGTGACAGAGGGACTATAATAGGCCTGGTGACCGAGGCACAGCAGGATGTCACAGCAAGGCTTCCTTCCTGCTGCCTGCAGACCAGTTTGTTGCGACATGGGGGTCAGAGGGCCCCCAACCCAACAACAACATCCCCTCCTCCCCTCATCCGCAACCTCCAACCAACCACCCTCATCATTATCATCTCTCGCCTTCTTATTTTCCTCTGAGAAGACAAGTGATTGAAAGACTGACTGAGTTATGATCTGCTTGCGGGAGGTTAAAAAAAAAAGTACTAGTCGCCAAAGTTACGGAGCATGTCTTTAACACTAGTGTCTGTCTGTCTTTCTGACTGACTGGCAGACAGGGTGTTTCTGTCCAGGTATGAAAAGCAGGGTAGGACATTCCACCCTGGTAGTTATCCTTACTGCGCTACACAGCGTGCTACAATACTAATGTAATGAGCAGTAATTAATGTGGACAGAGGACACAGAACAAACTCAACAGATGGTGCAGGTCATAGGTACCAGATGACAGCATTGCACACTCTTGCATTCTCTCAACCAGCTTCATGAGGTAGTCACCTGGAATGCATTTCAATTAACAGGTGTGTTAAAAGTTAATTTGTGGAATTTATTACCTTCTTAATGCGTTTGAGCCAATCAGTTGTGTTGTGACAAGGTAGTGATGGTATACAGAAGATAGCCCTATTTGGTAAAAGACCAAGTCCATATTATGGAAAGAACAGCTCAAATAAGCAAAGAGAAATGGCAGTCCATCATTACTTTAAGACATGAAGGTCAGTCAATACGGAAAAGACTTGCTTGGGCCAAGAAACACAAGCAATGGACATTGGACCGGTGGAAATCTGTCCTTTGGTCTGATGAGTCCAAATTTGAGATTTTTGGTTCCAACTGCCGTGTCTTTGTGAGACGCAGAGTAGGTGATCGGATGATCTCTGCATGTGTGGTTCCCACGTGAAGCATGGAGGAGGAGGTGTGATGGTGTGGGGGTGCTTTGCTGGTGACACTGTCGGTGAGTTATTTAGAATTCAAGGCACACTTAACCAGCATGGCTACCACAGCATTCTGCAGCCATACGCCATCCCATCTGGTTTGCGCTTAGTGGGACTATAATTTGTTTTTCAACAGGACAATGACCAAACACACCTCCAGGCTGTGTAAGGGCTGTTTGACCAAGAAGGAGAGTGATGGAGTGCTGCATCAGATAACCTGGCCTCCACAATCCCCGACCTCAACCCAATTGCGATGGTCTGGGATGAGTCGGACGGCAGAGTGAAGAAAAAGCAGCCAACAAGTGCTCAGCATATGTGGGAACTCCTTCAAGACTGTTGGAAAAGTACTGTATGTCCGAGCTTACCTCTTTCAGGAAATAAATCCAATGCAGTACTAGCCTTATATTTAGCTAATGAATGATGGGTTATGTATAAGCTTCTAATTTATAGCCTCTGTCTCTTGCGCAATACACACCTTATGAAAGGTATATATGCGTCAGCCTACAAATTATAGAAATGTATATTAGGGCTGTTATGGTGACCATATTACCGCCACACCGGTGGTCACGAGTCATGACGGCAGTCAAATTCCAGGTGACCGTTTAGTCACGGTAATTAGGCTTCTCCAAGCTCTGATGCTGCTGATGGTCATTAGTAGCCTACCAAACTTGCTAACTGTTTGGTACTCAGCACTCTATGGTCTCTCTAATCACTCTGACATCAATGGAAATGTATTTGAAAATCTAATCAAACACTCATGTTGCGCAACATTTCTACAGGCTATGCAATTGCGTGAGAAAACAGAGTGATGGCCTCCATTAAAAAGAGGAGGATCCCATCAGCTTTCTATAGGCCAGACTTACTATATTTATTTCTCAACTTTCCTAATATGAAGCACATTGCTTCTCTTTACAACAGGAGTATAGCCTACCTGGCTGGCATGAAAATGAACCACAGGAAAAGCGTCCTCCCTTCGCTATTTAAGTGCATAGATTACATGTATTTTGCTCCCCTGCCCCTGTTTCGAGACAGGTGCATGACAATGGTCCACACTAAATCAAAACAAATTTCACACATATATTATTTTGTATTTAAATCAAGAATTGTCTGATGGGTGACTATTAGCCTATCACTTGTGAATGATATATTATCACTTGTAAATGATGCCCAGCTTAAGTCAAGAAACAGCGCATACCTTTTTTTGTGTGACTTTTTCAAATCATAGTCATGTAGCCTAGCCCATAGGCCTATATGTTTTGATAAGGTTTGTATCACAACTAAAGTGGCCAAATAACTTCTTAAAATGTGCACATTATTCCACTTTACAATGGGTGTAGAGCCTAACTGGCATACATACGAAGCGCTTGAGTTTCAAGTTTTGGGAAGATAATTTTCACCATAAAATGCACCTTTGCCCTTCTGCTCCACGGGAGGTTTCTGTCCATCCTGAGCTCGCCTTAGGACACCTGCGTTACCGTTTGACAGGTGTACTGCCCCAGTCAAACTCCCCTCCTGCCACTGTCCCTGAGGCATTATCAAGTGCTTGTCAAATTGTGAATGAGAGACTGATGAAGTGTGTACAGTCTGCGCAAAAAACTAAGCAGAGCTCATGCCTTCCATGCAACTTTTTTCAAATCATCATTAGAGTTGCATCATTAGAATGTATTAAATGTATTAAAAATCAAAACATATAGCCCAACATTTGTATCACAACTAAAGTTACATAAATAACTCTAAATTAAGCATATAGGAGTACCTGTTCCTTTGTTAACCGCTCAACACAGAATAGCCGCATGTGCGCACTCCCTCAAATCGTTTGGAAAGAATATCCTATTTTATTCAGCTATGTTCAATTGTATTCTTCATGCTATAAAATTATATAAAATAATGCCATGGAATTCCAAGCAAATCTTGTCTGCTAAATGAACTAGTGTAACCCATAGCCATATGCCATAGCCAGATCAGGGCCTAACATAAGGACTAGTCAGAGTATGCTATTCTGTTCATCTGAAATAGACTACATTTTCTTCATATCATGTTTCTTTAGACCTGTCTAAAATAAATAATGGATTTATTGTGATGGTGTAGGCTAAATTACATGGATTTATTAGACTTTTTAAAATGTAGATGTTCCAAAGGTCTGCATCAGTTGCTTGTAGGTGTCACGACTTCTGCCGAGGCTGCCTCTCCTCCTTGTTCGGGCAGGCTTCGGCGTTCGTCATCATCGGCTTACTAGCCACTGCCACTCCATATATCATCATTCCATTTGTCCTGTCTTGTCAATTACACACACCTGGTTCATATCCCATCATTAGTCCATGTATAAGTGTTCCCTCTGCCCCCTTGTCCTTGTGGGTGATTGTTTTATGTGAGTTGAGTGTAGCTCGGTGGAGCTACTCGTACCTTGTATTGCCGGGGTAGATTATTCCCCTGTGCCTGTATTTTGTTGTCGCTATCCAGCGCAACTGTGTACGACGGAATAAACTCTGTATTCTGTGATTTACCCTCCTGCGCCTGACTCCTTCTAATCACACTCATCACAGAATCACCCACCCGCTATGGAGTCAGCGGGAGAGGAGCGCATGCTTGGAGTTGTGGCACGGGTCCAGGAGCATTCCACGATGCTGGCCAGCTTGGGGGAAGTGATGGATCGGGTTCTTCAGGTCGTCCAACGCCTGGAGAGGAGAGAACCCGATCTGGGGGGCCTTCAGGTACTGTCACGACTTCCGGCGAGGATGCCTTCCCTCCTTATTCGGGCAGGCTTCGGCGTTCGTCATTACTAGCCACTGCCACTCCTTATATCATAATTCCATTCGTCTTGTCTTGTCAATTACACACACCTGGTTCATATCCCCTCATTAGTCCGTGTATAAGTGTTCCCTCTGCCCCCTTGTCCTTGTGGGGGATTGTTTAATGTGAGTTGAGTGTAGCTCGGTGGAGCTACTCGTACCTTGTATTGCCGGGGTAGATTATTCCCCTGTGCCTGTATCTTGTTGTCGCTATCCAGCGCAACTGTGTACGACGGAATAAACTCTTTATTCGGTGATTTACCCTCCTGCGCCTGACTCCTTCTAATCACACTCATCACAGTAGGCTATGTGTGGAAGCCTGGAGATGCTAAATGTGTTTATGTTAATTAACGGTCAATTACCGAGAGACCGGCAGTTATTCGCTTGACAATCACCAGCTGACTAAATTTCATGACAGCCACAGCCCTAATAATAGTCCCTATTATATTTCAAAATTAAAATCAAATTCGCTAGCCTACAATTGTAACTTTGTAGGCTGCATGTCCTGCACCAGCAACACATGTTCTCTCCCAGCTTCATGGTTTGAACGAGGTGCGTAATTCTAGTCCATATAATACAGTATAATACAATACAGTACAGTAATACAGTCCAAACTCAAAAAGATTACTGGAGCTTGTTTCATTTATTTACCCAAGAGAGCATAGCTACATCTATGGGCTTTTATGTTTTTATGTCCTACGTAATGTACGGTAGCCTATATCATAGGCTATGTATTGGATAACGACACAATCATTTGGGCTTTTTTGGGCTTATGCTCATAAAATGTATTTAATGCAGAGCTCATAAAATGTCTTCAATGTATTGCTCATCAGGCTCAGATAGCATCAGGCTTGAATTTTCATGCCGATCAAAGCTCTAATCAAATCCAGACATACTTACGCATTGCTCTTTCCATGACATAGAATGACCAGGTGAATCCAAGTGAAAGCTATCATCCCTTAATGATGTTGCTTGTTAAATCCACTTCAATCAGTGTAAATGAAGGGGAGGAGACAGGTTGATTTTTTAAGCTTTGAGACAATTGAGGCATGGATTGTGTATGTGTGCCATTCAGAGGGTGAATGGGCAAGACAAAATATTTAACTGCCTTTGAACGGGGTATCATATTAGGTGCCAGGTGCACCGGTATGAGTATGTCAAGAACTGCAACGCTGCTGGGTTTTTCACGCTCAACAATTTTCTGTGTGTATCAAGAATGGTTCACTACACAAAGGACATTCAGCCAACTTGACACAACTGTGGAAAGCATTGGAGTCAACATGTGCCAGCATCCCTGGGGAACGCTTTCGACACCTTGTATAGTCCATGCCCCGATGAATTGAGGTTGTTCTGAGGGCAAAAGGGGGAGCAACTCAATATTAGGAAGGTGTTCCTAATGTTTTGTACACTCAGTGTATATGTTTTATATGCTTTGGAATGACACTTCCGGTTTTGGCGGGAAATACCGGGTGCCTGGGAGAGAAGTGATTAATTCTTGGGATGGAACATTTTTTAAATACCCTGAAAATATTCAACTCTACTAAAGACTGAATGTGAAAGTGATAATGGCATGGGTGGAAGGAAGGACACCCACACAGAGCAGAGCAGAGCTGAGGAGAACCCTCACAGTGCTACAGGGACTCTACCCTCAGCTGTCAAGTCACTTGGAGAGACATCACAGGGTTAGCATATGATGGTAGGGGAACTCTGACACTACATTTATTTTCAAATAACCACAATGTGTAATCAAGTGACATGAAAGACATGTCTCCAATGACCACCACAACACTAGAGTCGGAGTCCCTTCCTACTTAAATGATTCTCGTCTCACATTGTTACAACATTTGTATGATTATTTTCAGGGGTTGGAAACCGGTTCAGGGAACAGAACCGAAAACCTGAAAATAATGACATTTTTCAAGGAACAGAAACGGAACGGGGAACGAAAGTGGTCCATACTGTTCCAGAACAGAACCACTATTTTAAAAGCATGGAAACCGGTTAATAACACTATTTTACATTCCAGGCATTTTTTTCTAGTCCCACAAAAAAACGCAACAAAGCGCCTCTGTCACTCGGAAATGTATTCCAGCTTCTGCCTGCAAGCTGAAAATCTTTACAGATGTATGTGCATGTTTAGGTTACCTGCCCCTCCCCCTTCTGTACTGACATTAGAAGCGTGAGAAGATGGGGAGAGAGATGTTTTATTAGCTTTTTCAATGCTAGTTAAGAATATTATAGGCCTAGTTACTGTATAATTCTGTGGACCTAGTTCAGATAATGCATGTCATAACAACATGCCTAGCGCTTCAAGCCTGCTCCATAACCCTCTCTTGCTCTCTCCCCACTCGTAGAATTTCAGTCACATCTTGCGCAACAGGCTACACTTGTCTGTCCATCACGCATGTAAACAACTAGCTTGCCTGCTCTATCCGCACTGATTGGTGAAGTAATTGAATGAGCTAAATGTAAAAAACGGTAGATTTCACAGGTTAAAAAAGGAACAGAAAGGAACAATATAAACCGGTACTTTTTGGGGGTTCGAACCGGTTCTGAACTTTATTTTGATGGTCGGAACAGTGGAACTGAACGAAAAAAAGAGTGGTTCTGAAACCATTGGAAAATAATTTCGGTTTCAACCCCTGATTATTTTTTTTTTCAACTGTTACATTTCTGCAACTTGTTTTATAACATTTTCAGTATTTATACTAAATGGTAGTATGCCAATGGCGACCCACCAAACATGAGAGCAGCTTAGAGACAGAGAAGTAAACGTTTTGGTCTGCTGCTATAATGAAAGAGGGGGACTTGATAACACACGTGAAGCAGCAGCAGTCTATCTAGGAGCTCATTTCACACAGTGGTGATGGGGTCTATATAAAACTACAGCCATTTAAATACTGCACCGTCTCCACACTCTTTCCTGCTCTGATAGCAAAGCCAGACAAGTCAAACTGAGATGTCTGCATCTCAGAGTCCTTTAGATTATCAGGCCTTAGTGTTTTTTACTGTTTTGGTCTCTGACTTGATACTGTAGGTACCTTGTTTATCTCTACCTGACACATACTGTATGAACCCTTAAAAGACTTCCAGGCTTATTTCATTTGTTTCAACGACAAAGTGACTAATCTACTTTCCTGCTTGTGTGTCACCCTGGAGCCACAAACTGAAGACCTAAGTTCAACTGATGAATGTTGAAACAATATGACATATGAGTCATGTATTGTTCACAGGAAGAAAAGAGGGACCTCTGACGATGGTACACAGTGGAGTGGCTTGTGTTGGTGGATTTGTTTGACAATGAATGGTGTGCGTGCGTGCGTGGTAACTCACAGGTTCTGGCTAGACGCATCAGCTGCGTGGATACACAGGTAGGTCATGTCCTGTGAGAGGTAAACAGATAGGAGTACAAACACAACACAAGGGTCAGTTTTGTTCTGCACACAACACATACCATCTACATTACATTTACATTTTAGTCATTTAGCAGACGCTCTTATCCAGAGCGACTTACAGTTAGTGAGTGCATACATTATTTTTAATTTTTCATACTGGCCCCCCGTGGGAACATGTGGTCACAGTATAGTTTACCAGCGGTATATCATTCACTTTCTGAAAATTAGCTTTCTTGTATTTTTTTCCATTGTTTGAAACAGTAATTAGTAGGAAAAGTGTGTGGTCATCAACTGCACATTGTTGTTGGATGAGTCAAGTAAATACACACACATACTCAACTGAGTATTATAAATGAACCACAGAGGTAAAATAAATACAAATACGATGCTTCAAGTAGAGTGAAGTGCTCTAATGAACAGTTAAAGTTTTGTCTAAAGTTCTACAGCCCAATGTCACTGGTATTTATTGAAGCGTGAGACACCTCTACCCCCAGCTGGCTTCAACTGTGTACTACAAAATCTATGTTTTCGACTTTTACAAAATTATGTCATACTGTACGGATTTGGTTACACTTCGCAATTCCTATGAATCAAATCAAGGAACTGAATACTGAGCAAAAAAGTTATTAGACATCTCTCTAGAATTTGAGACAAAATCCCACATTCACTGACTGAGTATGAGGAAGTTAATAATAATTAACGTTTATAAGTTTGACTCATGTAAGACATGGTATTCAAGGTTATAGTCACTGGTCATGAAATCACATTTTCAGTTCTTGACCAACTAAACCAGAATGAAGCCTACTCCAGCCTACTCAAGACACAACAATGTATTCAGTCTATGTCTGTGAAACCGGCCTTGTGTCTTCTATGGCCGCCTGCCCCACTCACCTCCAGCACAGGTTTAGCATTGTTGTACACAGACAGGATGTGGGTGATGTTGTTCTGGGACAAACTCTCTCTGTTCTCCGAGTCTGGGGAAAGACGAAGGGAGGAAGAAAATGTCTATCAGTGATTCTTCTCAGTGAATTTCTATGAGAGCCTCAGTGGAGACAAACCAATGCCAAAGGAGAGAGAGGAAATGCATTATTTGAAGTGTTTAAGACACAGGTTCATCCCTGGCTTGCCCAGAAGCAGCATCAGTGACTGTGTGGCTGTAATTTGGGTAGCGATCATTTGGCCTTGTCACTTTGAGCTATTTTCAGTGTGAGAGCAGTACTTGGACCATCTTGTTAAGCCATCATCAGTATGGCTAAAATTAGAGCATGGTAGATGTCACATTAAGCTGGTAGGGCAGAAACCCCCTTGGCTGAGGAGCAGAAATATTGCCCAATATTGTGCATGATGTAAAATGTGCCTTAAACATTCTGTGACTTGTCTGTTGATAAATCACCAACACTACGAGATGGAGTAAATATGCCATATTCTACTGATGGATAAAGTATGATGCATGTAGCAGCCTTCATTCAGGCCATGCCTTAGTTCATTGAGCTACAGTACATGTATAACCTTCTGCTACTCTACTTTGATCTATACATAGCTATAGTCCACCCACTGGATATTCTTGTTATCTCTTCCCTTGTAACATTTGACCATACCTTGCAAGTAACGTATCAACAACATTATAACAACACAAGGACAGAGAAAGTTCAGCTCATGTGCATCAATAACAGAAGAAAATGCCGGAGTCTCTTTGAAAACTGCCCTGGATTCAAGCCAGCTGCTGCTGCCACACCTAGTGAATTAGAGTGAGTGTTGCCTCTTGGGTGGGATTCCAGACTGTGCAACATATAAAACAACAATGGATTTCAACAGAATCTTGTTCTCACCTCTGATATTTCCCAGGTAGAGCCCATCAACAACCTGCAAATAGGAAAACAAAGAGACATTTCACTAGTTAGATATTCACAATTTGAGCATGGCCTTAACAGTGATGCTCCTTATCTACGCTGTGGGAGGTATGCAGGTGTCCAGTTTGGTCACACAGTATTTTCCCAATTGAGAAAACTAACAGGAACCGTTCTCATAGCTATGTCTAGCCTTATAGGGCCTGCAATAAATAGTTTTGCCTGGCATGACCGGGAGTGAGGAGGAGCACTGACCCAACTCTGATGGTTATAAGGCCATGTTGACACAGATCTGTGGGATAAAGCTGTAGCTATCCGATCATGATCTCATCTAGACGTTACAAGACTCCTGCATTATTTAGGACTTCAAAATAAAAAGTATATACCTGCCTATGATGTTTCTGTCATTTGAAATTCAGATAAGCTTAGAGCTTCAGTCAGGGTTGAATTACAGTTGTGCTTCTGGACACTCCCATCACCTTAACAGGACACTAAGAAGTGTAATATATATATATATATATATATATATATATATATATATATATATATACACACACACACATATAACATTTAAACACCCAGCTATTGACAGATGACAATAAGGGCTTTAAAACAGTCAAAATAGTAGGGCTAAGTGTTTTTCTCCATTTGATAGCCTAAATCCAAACGTGTATGAGTTATCACGTTATTATATCATGTGAGAGTGTGTGATGAGTGGCCTACCCTTTGGTTTTATTCAGGGAAATATAGGGACGTTCAGTGTTGCAGATAGAAATGTAGATAATTATGTAAATAACATGATTGACAACAATCTATTTCGCGCATATCTATGTGCAACGTTTACGCCCCTCTGAGGAAGTGCCTTGCTACAAAAAAACAATAAAAAGCCATTGAACAGAACAGATACATTAATAACAAAAACCCATAGGCCCCTACCTTGTTCATTCCATTTCCCATGTCTCTTGCAGACGATAAAGATTATGAAGTATTTGAAATACTACGTTAAAATACAGCTGAGTATTTCCGTCTCAAAGCAACAACGCAAAACATTGGACAAGAACATGGACTGACTTTCACTAACATGAAGGGGTGCGTGCTAGTGATTGCGAAATGTTCGGTCGGTCACTAGTGAGACCACTTTGCGCCTCTGTAGTTCAACAACATGGGTGTACTTTTGACCGCTTTCTCTAAATTGCTTCACAAGACGATCGCCATAACGCTGTTCTGTATAACCTTCGCTCCATAATCCTCTTCCGGGTTTTCCCCCTGAGAAATGATTTCATTGGTACATGTGAACGTAATGCAGCCCAGACCTGGAAAGGATTATGATTAACTCATACAGTACTACTGCTTTGTACTAGGTCCTAACGACATGCATTTCAAGTATTGGAATATGTAATCGTTTATGCTTTTTTAGTTCCTGTAAACCCACAAATGCTTGCCATAGCCTAATCCAGGACTACAGCATGCATTCCTTAAAAATGGCAACTAAAACATGGTGCTTCACCACTTTTTGACCCTAGTCCGATTTTCAAACACAATTAGATAAGAGGCAAGGAAACAAGTCTTGTCAGGTTTAAAAACAGGGTAAATCCATGGATGTGGAAAAATCACACCTAGGCTATTTTTATGATGTTCATTGTACTAGTAAGCCCTACACATATAATTGGCATGTAGGGCCTACTCCTCCAGTGGCATTTAACCCTCCACAACATGGTAGTATAACAGCAAAGAAGGAGACATACTATTGGGTAAACATAAGAACTTTTATTTTGCTCTATAATACATGATAACCTTAAGAGGAAGAGGCCTTCCAAAACGTATTGACTGAGGTAATGTGGACAATAGATAAATACAGACAAGAGTATTGGTATGTTTGTTGGTGTCATGGTATGTAATGTGGTCCTCTGGATGGTTGGTTTACTTCTTCCATTCCTTGTTCTCATAGTCCCATTTGGCAGAGAAGCCCTCCACGGGGTTGATCCTCATGTCCAGCATCCTCTGCAACTCCTTCTCTTTCCATTCTGACTCAAAGGTGGGGGGGACAGGTCCGTACACTGCAGCGAGACAGACACAGCTTGTTAGGCTCTGCCTTAAAGTTTACCTATGAACATCTATTCTCTAATAGTCTGTATTGAACGTTTATCTACCAAGGTAAACATAATTGAGAACATATTCTGTTTCACAATAACAACTGGTTGCTTGTCAGTTATAACAATTATGGTTGAGGCAATACACTGGGCAGAGAAGACATGCAACCCATTTTTTTGAAGGGGCACTGATGGCCAAATGTTCCCATTCCTTTTCCTATTACAAGACATACCAAACTTCCTCTGCCATAGCACGACCAGTCCGGTCATGCCAATAAAGAAGAACATTCCTGCGATAACCGATTTCCACTCCTTTGTGCCCTCGTTCATCTCTGCGAAGCTTTGCTTGAAGCTAATGCGGTACACTGTCAGTAAAGACAAAATGTAAGACTTTGGTTAGATAATAACGATTTGGTGCAATTAGATGTAATTAGTGTAACATATCGATGTGATGCACAAACAATTGTTGGATAAACATTCATTTTCAATTCTAAATTAATCAATTAATGTTTTTGTCCCCCACTTTTTAAATCCTCATCACACCCACTGATTAAGTTGTCATATAGCAGATTTGTTTATTTGGAGCTAGTAACATTTTAATATTAGAAATGAGCTATGACATACATAGCCAATTAATATAATGCAGCTTTGGATTTCACCCGTCTCAAAAGCAAATGGTTTTGACTTTTGGAACTTTACGGAGAGCTGCGCTCTTCTCCCGTTCCGACCAGTGTGGCTGGCAAATATTATTGCTGTCCTTATGAAATTACACCTTTACACTGTTCATGTAAAAATGACCAAATGCACTGACTATTTAAAGCAGAAGTAACAACAATTTGTAAGGTGAACCTGGCAACCAAAAAGCCCCAATCAGCAGTTAGATGTGCAATCAGCAAGATGTGAGTTGTGTCCACTCCGGTAGCCTACATACAGTCGAAGTCGGAAGTATACATACACTTAGGTTGGAGTCATTAAAACTTGTTTTTCAACCACTCCACACATTTCTTGTTAACAAACTATAGATTTGGCAAGTCGGTTAGGACATCTACTTCGTGCATGACACAAGTCATTTTTCCAACAACGGTTTACAGACAGATTATTTCACTTATAATTCTCTGCATCACAATTCCAGTGGGTCAGAAGTGTACATACACTAAGTTGACTGTGCCTTTAAACACCTTGGAAAATTTCCAGAAAATGATGTCATGCTTTAGAAGCTTCTGATAGGCTAATTGACATCATTTGAGTCAATTGGAGGTGTACCTGTGGATGCATTTCAAGGCCTAGCTTCAAACTCAGTGCCTCTTTGCTTGACATCATTGGAAAATCAAAAGAAATCAGCCAAGACCTCAGAAAAAAATGGTAGACCTCCACAAGTCTGGTTCATCTTTTGGAGTTATTTTCAAACGCCTGAAGGTACCACGTTCATCTGTACAAACAATAGTACGCAAGTATAAACACCATGGGACCACCCAGCCGTCATACCGCTCAGGAAGGAGACGCGTTCTGTCTCCTAGAGATGAACGTACTTTGGTGCGAAAAGTACAAATCAATCCCAGAACAACAGCAAAAGGACCTTGTGAAGATGTTGGAGGAAACAGGTACAAAAATATCTATATTCACAGTAAAACAAGTCCTATATCGACATAACCTGAAAGGTCGCTCAACAAGGAAGAAGCCACTGCTCCAAAACCGCCATAAAAAAGCCAGACTACGGTTTGCAACTGCACATGGGGACAAAGATTGTACTTTTTGGAGAAATGTCCTCGTTATGTCCATCGTTATGTTTGGAGGAAAAAGTGGGCTGCTTGCAAGCCGAAGAACACCATCCCAACCATGAATCATGGGGGTGGCAGCATCATGCTGTGGGGGTGCTTTGCTGCAGGAGGGACTGGTGCACTTCACAAAATAGATGGCATCATGAGGAAGGAAAATTATGTGGATATATTGAAGCAACATCTCAAGACATCAGTCAGGAAGTTAAATCTTGGTCGCAAATGGGTCTTCCAAATGGACAATGACCCCAAGCATACTTCCAAAGTTGTGGCAAAATGGCTTAAGGACAACAAGGTATTGGAGTGGCCATCACAAAGCCCTGACCTCAATCCTATAGAAAATGTGTGGGCAGAACTGAAAAAGCGTGTGCGAGCAAGGAGGCCTACAAACCTGACTCAGTTACACCAGCTCTGTCAGGAGGAATGGGACAAAATTCACCCAACTTATTGTAGGAAGCTTGTGGAAGGATACCCGAAATGTTTGACCCAAGTTAAACAATTTAAAGACAATGCTACCAAATACTAATTGAGTATGTAAACTTCTGACCCACTGGGAATGTGATGAAAGAAATAAAAGCTGAAATAAATCATTCTCTCTACTATTATTCTGACATTTCACATTCTTAAAATAAAGTGGTGATCCTAACTGACCTAAGACAGGGAATTTTTACTAGGATTAAATGTCAGGAATTGTGAAAAACTGAGTTTAAATGTATTTGGCTAAGGTGTATGTAAACTTCCGACTTCAACTGTAGCTCTGCCAGTAAAACCATTTTCTACAGCGCGTTTGGCAACACAAACCAGGTTTCCATCCAACCTTTTTATGCAAGTGAAGTACATGTCGGTCCAAAATAATGTCATGACAGGCCTGATGGAAACAGAACATTTGTCGGTGAACTTTCCAAAAACAAAACAGGCTAGACAAGGTGGGATCTTTGTGTCTGTAAAATTATGCAAGAAATGACGGTGGAAATGCTTTTATGCACAAATATTACTATAATAACCATCATATCGAAGTAAACTTGGAGTCACGCAATGAAATGTTGTGTGGTCCTTCCACTACGACTCGTCGGGAAAGCATGCAGTTTATTAGAATACAGATTCAATGAATTATGATTAACTTCACAGGGTGGTGAAAGTGCAGATGATGAGCTTGATCCTCCTTTCCAATAAATATCGAGGGTCTTATTCTGGTGACATGATCATCGATGCTTGGCTGCTGTGACAAAGAAAAATTATCTTGCTCTTTTGTCCATAATAATCTCAAGTAGGCTATACCTGCACTGTATCTGTGAGCTGTTGGCTAGAGCGCATGTGCCAATACTAGAGTGGGCACACTCGCTATATAACGCAATATAACATAATTTTTGTGAGAAAACCATCAGTAGAGTTGAAAATGCGATGGAAACCCATTTAACTTGTGTTTTTTGTTCGGTATGTGGGAATTTAACCGCAAAAGCTATTTTTATGTGCACTACGTCATCACACAGAGCCTTTTATCACCAACAAGTCAATTTGATGGAAACATCTATTGGGAAAATTGTTTTTATGAGGATTTTAGAATATTTGCATGAAAATCTGTCGCAAATTAGATGGAAACCTAGCTAATGACCCAGCAAATTATATTGGTTGTCCCTCAATTAATAAAGCCTATGACTGAATAATTCGAAAGCCATTTTAAAAACATCTGAATGCTGAATGTGCCGTGCAGCTGTAGCCTACGAACAGGGTTAGGGTAGGCCTACCTCTCGTTGGCGCGTGCAGCTGTGTCTCCCGCACTGTGCGCACAGTTATCTGACTTGTAGATCAATATCATACGCAGTGACATGCATAAAAGTTTGATAGGCTGAAGAGGACACATCAATTCAGTCACAACAGATGAGGTATTTTCGGAATAAGGCAAAAAAAAAAAAAAAGAGTAATAAACGTTAGGGAACCGGCGATTTGTAACGTTTGAATTGGTTTTCTTACCAATGCATGCTTCATATGGATCGGTTTGGCCTCCCACGGACCGATGCACTCGCATCTTAAACATTTGAACCGGGGTCTGATGCGTATCGGTGAATTGTTACATCCTTACTAACAGAACAGATAGCCAAACAACTATGCAATAGCAGTTTTGTTTTATTTGAGTAAGCATTTACCTTGCGACAACAAAACGGACAAAAACAAAAGGGTAAAAACCACTTACATGCAATCTTCTCCTCGTTGGAGAGTGTAGCCCAGGAGCCCTTCTCCTTCTCCTTTAAGGACTTCTGCGCTGCACTCAGCTCGGTCACAAACTGGACGTCGGGGAGGGGGTTCTCCCGCCTGTCAAAGTAGCATGGGAGAGCGTAGTCGTCCACCTTGGCAACACCTGCAGGAAACTCACCATGTTACTACATAGGACTGACACACATAACCAATAAATACATGTATTCAAACCTGCATAGGACCTGCTTAGCAAATACGTGCATAGGCAAATACATACTGTGTGCCTTTGGGAGCCGCATAACTGCTTTTTTAGCTTACCTAATAAAGCTGTAATATCTTATTCTACAATAAGATGGTATTGTCTGATTCCTGTATATCTCCAAACCATGCTGGTGGTGGTGTATTTCATCCATTGTTTACATTTGTTTGTCAACTTTTTAGTGGTAGGTACAATTTACAGAGGGTGGCTTTAAACGTCCATACCATGAAGGTCAAGTATTTGGTGTGTGCTGCCAACATAATCACTCACCATGTCCCCCACGTACACATATTGATGTGGAAATTGCACGTTTGCCAACAAGGCTAAGGGCTCTGGTGGCCAGCATTCTGAAAAAAATAACATACATGAGAAAATGATTAAATATAGCTAGCTACTACTGTAACAAAACATTACTGACCAACGAATCGCCGATAAGTTATTCTGATGACATGAAACTATAGCCTAGCGGCTAGCCATCAAGTCTTTGTAAAATAGTGTGGTTACGTTTATTCTTAATCAATTAATTTATAAATCGAAAAATAGCAACAGTTCAACAATAATTTATGAAACTGCACATCTCCCTAATCATACATTTAGCAACTAGTTATTGTCACCTCCCATACACACATTGCTATAAACCAGTTTTTGTAACAAATAAAATCAAAGAAACAGAACTGGCAACAACAACAAAAAAGAGGAAAAGCTTGCTTGCCACTTAGTTAGCTACCTTAACCTAGATAAAGTTACGCAGCAAAAATTTCTAAGCTAGAAAGTTGCCTAGCAAACTAAACATAGCTAGCCATCGTTCAATTTAGCCATCAATCTGCAGTGGACATTTCAAGCTTACATTAACCAAACATTTCCATGGTAACGTTAGACAGGCTAACAGTTAGATAGCTAGCTAACGTCCATGTTGAAAATAATGAGTTGTTAATTTCAACCTAGGCTAACGTTAGCTGACCTAGTACCTGGGCTTCAGGAGAGGATGAATATGACGAGATTTCCTCCGAAACCCAGGATCCTTCAGTTCAAAGTCCCAAAGTCAGCTCTGCAAACATTATGTCAAAATGTGTTGGGTACTCATCAAAATATGGAGTTTCGCAGAACTATCGTAATTACTTATGTTACGCATGGCATGTACTTCCAAAAAAGGGCAAAAAAAAGTATATATAGAAAAATATTTACCAAGTGTGCATGCGCCAAATACACCTTACTTACTGCCACACGCAGGTCGGCTGATCCAGCCGCAGTACAGCATCCAGAAAGATCATTGATTTTGTTTTTTCTTTGACCTTTTTTGGAAGTACATACCATGAGTAACGGCAGTAATGACGATAGTTGCTCTATGAAACTCCATATATTGTTGAGAACCGAACGTTTTTGACATAACATTTGCAGAACTGGCTAATGGGACTTTGAATTGAAGGATCTGGACGTCAGAGGAGATGTCATATTCATAGTCTCTTCAAGCCCAGGTACTGGTTCAAACCAATGACGTATATAAACCCTGGATTGCTTTTGCTATGTACCGTATTGGTCCGAATATAAGACGACCCTGATTATAAGACGACCCCCCGTTTTTCAACACAAACATTTAGAAAAACAGATTTGCAGACTAGATTTGCCGAACAAAGAACTTCATTTTATTTTAAAATAACAATATTAAAAACACAGTGAATTAAACACAAAGGCAAACTATGTACAGTATGATTCAAAATTAATATCAAGCAATAATAAAGCAACATTTTTAAATAACAGAGAAAATACAGGCCACACATTTAACTAAACTTAACAAAAATTCGCCAAACTTCTCCTCCGATGTCTCTCTATCCCTCACACACGTCCTCTGCCCCGCTGTGTTCGCTCTCGCTGTCATCGCTCCCCAGCTGCTCCGCTTCCACCGGCTCCTCCCAAAGCACGTCGTCCTCGCTGCCGTCCAATGCATTTGAGATGCAACATTTTTTAAAGCCATCGATGATGCTCTGTGAGGGAATAGCATCCCATGCATGCAGGATCCATTCACACAGTAGACGGACTGACGGCTTCTGTATTTTCCCGGTCGGTGTGAGTGCGTGGTTGCCAGACAGGAGCCACTCTGTGTATTTTTTTCGCAGGTTATCCTTGAAAGGCTTGTTCACAACTACGTCCAACACCTGTAGCTGGCTTGTCATTCCCCCTGGTATGATCACAAGATCCCCGTTCATTGCTCGCACCTGACTTTTCACGGGCTCAGTCAGATGTCCGCGGAACGCATCCAGAACGAGCATGTTCCTCCTCTTCCTCAGTCCCCCGTAGCGTGCGCCCCACACAACCTTTAGCCAGTCCACTACAAGCCCCGACTCCATCCAGCCCTTCTCCTGGGCGCGCACAATAATGCCAGCTGGCATTGGGTCCTTTGGCACAGTCTTACGCTTAAGAATGACATACGGGGGGAGTTTGCTGCCACCAGCGAGACATGTCAACATGACAGTGACGCGGCTCTTCTCGTTGCCCGTTGATTTCACCAACACAGACTTTTCTCCCTTTCTATTGACAGTCACCGATGTTGGCATGTCGAAATAAACGGGTGTCTGATCAGCATTGCCGATCTGATCCAGCGGGTAGGAGTGCTTCTTCCTCAGGTTGATAATAAAGCGCTGAAACGAAAGCAGCTTCTCTCCGAAGTCTGACGGCAGGCGTTGGGCCAAACTCGTTCTCCGTCTAAGTGACAGTCCATTACGCCGCATCATCCTACGACACCAGCCGAGGCTGGCTTTAAATCCAGTGATGTTGAGCTCTCTGGCGATTTCCAGGGCCTTAACCTGGATGACAGCTCTGGTAATGGGCATTCCCTCAACTCTTTTTTCCCTGACATATTCAAAAACCCTCCGGTCAACCTCAATGAAACGACCACTTTGAGGACCACGGAAGGATTTTCGCTGACTGTTAGCATCTTTTAGACGTTGTTTTTCTGCTCGCCATCTTCTTACATTACACTCAGTGACCCCGAATGTCTTGGCAGCTTGGCAGTTGTTAGATATTGGTTATTGAGAGGGTTTGAAGCCACCGGTCGGCCATATTGGCACTCCCTAGTAGGAGCAGTCAGCCATAGGAATGAATGGAATTCTACAGTATTTCAATTAAATGTTTCAAGGATAAAATTACATGTATTTAAGTATTTTTGTTGTTGTAGTGGGGACAGTAACATTAGCACCCTCAAAAAAAAATACTTTAAGGAAAATGTTTTCATATATATATATATATTTCTTCATATTATATTTTTTAGGTTAAGCTCACAATGTAATTTCAAAGTATGCATTAAGGTGCCTAATATAATGAACGTGTCAAAAACTAATGTAAACATTAATAAATGCATTTCTATAGCTTCCAAAATATTTTTTACAATTGAGGAGGAGTACCAAGATGGCTGCACGGTGGCTTCAATACAGCGCCCCCTCGGCATCCGGGGTTTATACACATCATTGGTTCAAACGTTAGCTAGCTAGAAGGATCACACTCAAGCTAACATTTACATTTTAGTCATTTAGCAGACGCTCTTATCCAGAGCGACTTTTACAGTTAGTGAGTGCATACATTATTTATTTTTCATACTGCCCCCCCCGTGGGAATCGAACCCACAACCCTGGCGTTGCAAGCGCCATGTTCTACCAACTGAGCTACACGGGGCCTAATGCTAATCCATCGCTAACTGGCACAAGGTCAAATACATAGACGTCCAACATTAGATTCCTTTTTGTAATATTCCTGCTCCGGTCTAAACTCCACAGTAACATTACACATGACTATGAGGAGGAATACCCACTAAACAGACTACAGGGCACACAGGAATGTTAGCTAGGAAGCTAGCTAGCCTAGCCTTGACAGTCCATGGAGCCAACCACTGCCTATTCGCCTCGTCTTGTCTGCCTTCTTCTCAATGTCACATCTCTTCACTCGGCTCTCTCGGAAACATTGACAAATCCATTGCTGATTACACAGCAGATATGTAGCATGTTTATCTTCATTAAAACCTATATAATATATTCTATGATAGCTGTATTTCAGACGTCTAATAATTTAGAAAATCCACCCGCCATCTCTTACTTGTTATCCTTTCGGCGACGCTCCAAAACCATAAAGCAAGTGTGATTAACCGGAAATACGTAACTGGTGAGGGATTATGGGAAACTATGGAAGGTCAATCGGTCATATTGTCATAGTGTAAAACGATGTTTATAATATACGATTTGAATTTCACTATTATAGAAATAGTAAAATGTATTTGTAAAATAATGTGAGCTGTGATTCATTTCGCTGTGCAATTGAATTTGAACTTTTACGACGTTAATGTACCGAAACTAGTGTTCATTCGCTACCATGTTGGCGCAGCATTGGTATTCTTCCTGTCACGCCGTGTGCCTTGAGATGAACCAAAATGGTGTTTGTGGCCTGTCATATGGTGTGGGAACGCGTGGGATTCTCAACCCGGGTGTGTGCTACCTTCGTTCCACCAGCAAGAATAAGCAAGACCTAGCAAGAATAAGGCCGTGACCGCGGCGATTTTCCTTCAAAATAAAAGTTCCAAAATGAAGATCGTGAAAAATAGTACAAATGTTCGAAATGCGTAACATTTTATGAGGAAAAGTTAGAAGACTAAGAATTTTGTGGAAAAGGAATACAGTTAATCGCTATTATAGCACAAATAATTGATATTATTGTTAACAGCATTAAAAGTAACGATTACTAAATAGTTATCATGGTAAGAACAGTAATAAATAACAAAACATGATGTATAATGTTACTATTAATAATAATTGTAATAACAATATTAATAATATATTATTATTATTATTATAATAATCAACTTTAGAAAACACTTTTAAATCCCATTGTTAATTGGCCCTTTCGTATTGAACACTGTCCAGTACGTTTTTCTTATTGCACAGTAGTACACGATTTCATGTAAATTGTGTCGCAGTAAAAAGGGGGGTCTATTCTACTTAGCAGCACTTCAAGTTTCTAAATCCACAGAGTTTACACCCAGAGGAGTGTCGCTGCTCATTTGGCGGCCCTTATAGAGTGGCCCATCAATAGTTTTTTCATATTGGACATTGGATTTAAGTTGATGGGCTCTCTATAAGGGCCACCAAATCAGCAACGATGCTCCTCTGGGTGTAAACTCTGTGGATTTGGAAACGATATGTGCTCCTGAGTAGAATGGACCCCTTTTACTGTGGCACAACGTACAGATAGGTACAATATGTGTGTCCAATATAAAAAAAAAACTATTGGATTTAAGATGGGCCACAACATACAGATTATTTTGTAAGGTGCAATAAATGAGTATGCGTTTAGGCTTAAACAACAAATAAACAACATAATATCTTATATAATTACTTTTGATTATTCTTTGTATGATAAGTAGTATAAAATATATCGATAATTTTGCTATTTTCCCATATTTTTCGCCCTAGTTATTCATTTGCAAAGTATACAGGGCTGGACATTTATTCTGAAGGATTCCAAAAATCCGTGACCCGGAAGTATTTATCTATTCTTGCCTGCTTCATGCTTTACAGCGGTGTGAGTGTTTACGATACCGGTGCAAACCACCAACGAGAAGCCAAGCAGCGTGAATTTGTAGTAGGATATAACGTTACCGTCTTGACCAATATATAACATTAATGCACTGTAGCATTCACAAAAAGTAACCTTTATGTAGGTAGCTAGTTATTAGAGACTCGAATACCGTATTCAACCAGAGCTGTCACGGTCTCTCTGTTGTATCGGGAATGATATACGTTGGCTAGCTGTCAAACTAGCAGTCTCTAGACCATCCTTGTACAATTAACTAGTTTAGTGTTTATCTGGAAATAAGAATGAGTATTAAATTGACAACTCAGGCTTATTGCAAGATGCTTTTGCATGCTGCTAAATATCCTCATTGCGCCGTGAACGGATTGCTGGTTGCTGAGAAACAGAAGGAGAAGAAGAAAGACAGCCATTCCACTCCAATCCTCTGCGTGGATTGTATACCACTATTCCACGGCACGCTTGCATTGGCACCTATGCTGGAAGTGGCACTTACATTGGTGAGTGAATTGAAAGTCTTTATCTTCTATTCACATGTAATGTTTCAACATTTTTCATGTTATTCCATTGCATTTTCACCACTGCAAGTTCTGGGCCTGTTGAAGTAGAAGTTCATTAACAGCTGTCAATCCTGCTGACATGTCAAGCTAATGTCAACATTATGGTGAAGGAAGTTTCTGATGTACTTGTCCGTTGGTGGAGTTTATCAGAAACTTCCTTCACCATGGAGTTGAGTTTAGTCAGCTAATGTCAAACAAGCTAATATTTTTTTTCTTTCCCCACTTCCAGATTGACACGTGGTGTAAAGAGAACAAATATGTCATAGCTGGGTATTACCAAGCCAACGAGCGCACAAAGGACTTCAGGTAACAAGATTTTGATACAGGATCCCTTTCAAGTTCTGTGGAGAGTTGTGTTGATATGATACACAATGTACTCTATCTTCTTTTGACTCCCACAGACCTAACCAGGTTGCTGAAAGAGTTGCGGCCAGGATTGCAGAGAACTTCAGCGAAGCAGCAATGATTATGGTAATCCTCTATCAGCCGACCAATATCAGAACTGCCACATTACTGAATTCACACATAAGACCTACACTGACAACTGTATCTCTAATAATGTTGTTTTCCTCAGGTGGACAGCACCAGATTCACCATGGGCTGCTATGAGCCCATATTAGCCATCTATGACCACCATGAAAACAAGTGGAAATGCAGGGACTGTAATGTGTAAGTGTTCCTGAGCAGATAGGACTGTCCTAATATGTCATGTGGGCTAGATATATCACAGCTACTGAACAGCCATTTATCCAAAAAGATTTGGACGTGCAGACATTTGACAGTCTTAACCGCTATACCATATACACAGGCTGTCACCTCTCAGAGATCCTATTAAATTACTAATTGGATCTAATATGAGTTCTAATATGTAATTCTATGGTCGGCCTTGCACACCGTATTGCAACACTGCAGTCTTGCATTGCAACATTAATAAGAAATGTAGTCATTGACAAGGTTAGAAATAATGATTTTTAATTGAAATAATGATTGTGTCCATCAAACTTTGCTTTCGTCAAAGAATCCTCAATTTGCAGCAATTACAGCCTTGCAGACCTTTGGCATTCTAGTTGTCAATTTGTTGAGGAAATCTGAAGAGATTTCACCCCATGCTTCCTGAAGCACCTCCCACAAGTTGGATTGGCTTGATGGGCACTTCTTACGTACCATACGGTCAAGCTGCTCCCACAACAGCTCAATAGGGTTGAGATCCGGTGACTGTGCTGGCCACTCCATTATAAACAGAATACCAGCTGACTGCTTCTTCCCTAAATAGTTATTGCATAGTTTAGGGCTGTGCTTTGGGTCATTGTCCTGTTATATTCGGCTCATGTGACAAATGTGATTGGATTTGTGATTCTCGAACGTGAAGCTGAGGTTCTGGAGTGTTGGTTTGTGTGTGTATCCAGGGACTGCTTTGAGGACTGGTGTGAGGCTCAGAAGATCACGTCGGCTCTGCTGGAGGGCAGGTCCTACGAGAGCCTGATCGACTTCGACAATCACCTAGACGACCTCAGGAATGACTGGACCAACCCTGAGATCAACAAGTCTGTGCTGCACCTGTGCTAAGCCTCCCAGCCGAGTGACTGCACTGCACTCGACAAAGACATTGCGGCCAAAACGGCGTTGGACGTGCCCTTTACTACTGTAGCGCAGGAATGCAAAGGGCTGAATGCTAAGTCTTTGTTCCCAGTGAATTGCTCTCACAGGGAAGAGAGCTTTCAGAGCACTGGCCAGTTGTATTTTCATGGGTAAGCAGGACACGGGTACCATTGGGATCTTTGTTCCCGAAGTAGGGAGGATCAAGGTGATCAAGACCTTGGTGTCGTTCAATGCAACATGTGTTCATTTTCTTTCTCATTTTTTGAGTATGGTTTTTGTATGCTAATAGTTAGTGAAGATGTATGCGTAATTCTGAATTGTAGGGAAAAATGAATATAATTTATTTTGACTTATATTTAATACTTTAGGTTCTTCAGAAATAGTAGTCTTAAAGAGATGATAGTCATTATAAATTATTGTTCTGAGATTTGACTTATTGAAATATTACAGAATTGTACTAAACGAGATATGTTATGTTTTTTTATTTCACTACCTATTAAGTCTTAATGTTTATATTCTCAGATAACTGTTTTTCTTATAAGAGATAGCTTAGTATTTATTTGTTAAAAGATTATCTGATTATTCTTTACTTTAATTGCTGAATAAAAGTTTGTTATTGGATAGGTAATAAACTGTAAGTCACTTGGGATAAAAAAAAATCTGCTAAATGTCCATGTTATTAATATTGATTCATTAATTACATATTTTGGGTTGGGTTACGATATAAAAGCCTAAATAAAATCGTTTTTGAGGTTTTTATATATTAAACCTTTTTGTAAAAAAAATTGTTTGGACTGAATGTACAAATAAAATGTAACTTTTCAGATATTGTGCATGTTTTTTATGCCTTTTTCTAAAATCACTCCCTTACCCAAGCGCTGCCCTACACACTTGAGGGATCCACAGTGTTCCATCACTTTGGGTTGAGACAGCATACAGTGGATATTAATGGAAAATACTTTCCATTTGTATTTATTTTTTACCCCCCAATTTCAATCTTGTCTCATCGCTGCAACTCCCCAACGGGCTCGGGAGAGGCGAATGTCGAGTCATGCATCCTCTGAAACATGACCTGCCAAACCGCGCTTCTTAACACCCGCCTGCTTAACCCGGAAGCCAGCTGCACCAATGTCTCGGAGGAAACACTGTTCAACTGACGACCGAAGTCAGCCTGCAGGTGCCCGGCCCGCCACAAGGAGTCGCTAGAGCGTAATGAGCTAAGTAAAGCACCCCCGGCCAAACCCTCCCCTAACCCGGACGATGCTGGGCCAATTGTGCGCCACCCTATGGGACTCCCAGTCACAGCCAGTTGTGACACAGCCCGGGATCAACCCTGGGTCTGTAGTGACGCCTCAAACACTGTGATGCCGGAAAATACTTTCCAATCTATGAGGGTCCAAAAAGACAAGATATAGAAGCTGAGAATGGAATAGAAAAGTTCATTCTAAACCATCTCTGATAGAAGTAAGAGGCCATGACAAATGTTATGGTGAAAAACTGATTCCTGAAAGAGCCCCTACCCTGAAGAACTTTCCATAACATATCAGAAAATATGATGGAACTACTACCAAAGGGCCCGATTCCGACAGGAAATGTACGCCTTTCTTAAACATGCCTTTCCTAAGCACTTCTAAGTAGCTAGTATTCAGACTTACCCAGTGCTTGGACTGAAATAGGTGTTAGTACTCATTTTGGGTGCCATTACTGTTTACATTTAGGTGCAGGAGCTCCACAATACTTTTGAGCTAATATTCTATAAGCGGAACAGGAGCTCAAGCAGTAGAACATTTGAGGTGGTTCCCTTGCATGTGCCGAATACATTTAATTCAACGCTGAAACCTTCCCACTTGCTGGCCAACAGATTTTCTCGTGGAGTTTTCATTCAATAGGGTTTACAGTACATTTAGCTTAAGCCATCCCTTTAAATACGGTGTACCTTTAATTCGAATTGTGTAGACAAACTAGGAAACATAGAGAGAAGGGGCTCAGAATATAGGGATCAATGAAAGAAAGACATCTAAATATATGGATATTCGTCTCCGTTTCAGCACCATCTGGTCGATTTTAAAATACACTGATCTTGTAGATTATTTAGGCACATTTTAGGGTTAGGAAAGTATGTATGAATCATTTAAAAAACAGGTTTTGAGAGCCTTTATGCACAAAATATATTGATGAATCCAAAATAAAGTGGTTTGATTCATCCTGAAAATTGTCATATTCGAGTTCAATCCATTAAATATTGGAAGGTGGAAAAAAGTGGACAATAAGGTTTGAACAATAGTCCTATTAATCTACCCTAATCGTCACTAACCATGGAACTGTATGACAATGGGTATATGTGGTTTGAGTTCCATAAAAATTAAAATAGGCTACATGTCCCGCATTATTGCACAACGTTACCCTAATATGATCCACTAATGCTAGCGACCCTCTGCAATAACTACATAGGAGTGACAGGAAAGAAAGGTAAACGGAATGGAATGATCCAAAATGTCAGCTAGAAATTGAAGAAAACGAACACTAAAATGACAGTTATAAATGTATGTAGGTATTACTGACGGTGGCTCCTGATAGTGGCTAATATTTAACATGATACAAATTGTAAAATAAAATTGAGAAAAGCCCGGGTATATAAATAAAACATTCTAAAGCGCATACATCAACTCGGCAGGCTCAGCCCTACAGAAGCCTATAGCTTGGGTCTCCAAATTTCATCCACGTAAATTGTGAGGGCACACAATTACAATTCTGAATAACGGCACAGCTATTTATAGCCGATTTCACTGTTCGCGTTTATATGATTTTCTGTTTGCTTCCATGTGACTGGTTTCACATTAGTCTCCAGGGATCATAAGGGAAAATCATATAAAACAATTGGTATGTCTATTTACCATCCCCTTCTCCAAACGGATTACTCATTTACCTATATTTTATCAATAGCTCTTATCAATGATTAAATTACAGTGCATGGAGAATGCTGTTATTTCTATGGGAAAAAATAAAGTAGATGCTTTTTCCACTTGGAAACGGCAGGTTTGCTTGACCTTATTAATGGTTTACTAAGGAAAAAAAGGTGGTAAATTTATGAGGGAATTGAGTCAAATTCAGAATACAGCATATCTGTAGACAAAAATGAATAAAGTTAATCGCCATTATAGCACAAATAATATTATAGCATTAACATTATTGTTAACAGCATTCAACGTAATGATTAATAGATAGTTATCATGGTAAAAACAGTAATAAATAACAAAACATTATTTATAATGCTACTATTAATAATAATAGCGGTAATAATATGAATAATAATATTACTATGATAATTAATAGTAGCATTATAAATAATGTTTTGTTATTTTTAATCAACTTTAGAAAACACTTTTAAATCCCATTGTTAATTTGCCCGTTCCTACTGAACACTGTCCAGTACGTTTTTCTTATTGGACATACCTCCGTCACACCTTAATTTCCGTACGAATAGCGGGGTGAATAGCATGCTATTCTAATGCATAAATTCAAGGTCAGAATACACATAGAGAGAAAAGTGCATAAAAAGGCATTTAGCCTACGTTCCATTTACGCGCGCTTAACTCGGGTCGGAATCGACCCAATATTGCTTTTAACCCCCATCCAATTCTTTCAGGTGGCTACATGAAGTGACCTCTATCTGGAGGTCTTTCTCTACCGTCTCTGGCCATGTTGTGCGTCTGTACCTCTATTGTGGGTAAATACTGCCACTCAGTGACGATGGTATGCAATTGACTGATTTGGAGAGGAGGAGGGACTTCCGCATTCCAAGTGACACTTCTCTGAATATTTCGCGGGAACTTGCAACAACATCGATAGGCACTGTTGTTGCGGAGATAACGTTACACGTAAAACGATAAAAGTAAGGTTACAATGGACCCTTCTGAGGTTCGAATTCCCTTGCAGAGAAGGAGGTGATATCCCCAATTCAGTCTTGAAGATTATCACCAACGGGTGGTTGGCATAAGATGGCTAAATTTTCTTGTTTAGTTACGCGTTAGCCTAGCAGGATCACTTAAAGACAGCATTTGTGGCCTGACAAATGTTGTTATACTAGCTAATTCATATACTCTACTACGTTAATAAAGCCCGCTAATTCGTCTAACAACGATCATTCCAGGCTCCCATTTTTTGCCAGATCCAGGGGGCACCTACGTATGATTATGGTTTACATTTGCCAAGTATGACTTGACCGGGTCCTTTTAACCAGGGCTACCTGTCGACGGCCTGTGTGGCTGGCCTCAATGAACGAGGCAGAAATGCAGGATATGCCGCGAGTGAGGTGTAGTAGTTAAGGAGACAGTGTCTCTCAGAGGTTTCATACTGGTAATTCGAACTACTTTGTTAGATTAATCATTCGAACTCTTGCTTTTCACGGAAACTGGAGGAGATAAGAGAGCTCGAGGAAGGAGACAATTCACCCTTCCCAGTCATACATGGAGCTGCAGGCTACTCACAGCAGTATCATCTTCTTCCTAACTTATGATTATTGTTTGTTGGATCGCTTGACTTATAATTGATGAAGTGCACAATAGTCATAATCCGTTCTCTGCAGGATCTGATAACATTCCAAACGATGAGATCCGGCGGTGAAAGAATCGGGACAGGCATGCAACGCTCTCGCTGAAGCTTCAGCCACAGAAGCACACGCTATCATTCACTGAGAGTTATGAACAGGGGCACAATGGCTGATGTGACCAGATGAGGGCGACGCCCTGCTCAATCGAACAGTATCACACTGGTTATTGTCAACAAGCAATGATAGATTACAGAAACATAAACTGGCAGGCAGATAAGGAACACTTTTATCAGGCAAACATTTTACTGTAAAAGAAAAGCAAACAACTCATACAATTTCACATACATTCACACAACGGTCCCAACACACTTTACAGGAAGAAAAGAGACATGGCATTAATAAGATGATAGAAGTAAAGTATAGTTAGATTAATGCATCTGTATGTGTTGTTAAATGTGGGAACTTTGTGTAGAAACATTCTTTTTTCCCTTATTTACATTTTCCTCCTCTTTCATCTCCCTCTCCATCTTTCCCTCTCCATCTTTCCCTCTCCATCTTTCCCTCTCCATCTCTCCCTCTCCATCTTTCCCTCTCCAGCTGGACAACCTGACTCTGATGGAGATTAACACGACACGGTCGTTCCTGCTGGACACACTCAACTGCATGTATAAACTGCGCTCCAACCTGCAGCCCGGCTCCAGTGTGGGCAAAGCCCAGGACCACTGATCTGTATTTATGGACTAGACCTGGACCTGCGCTGCAGCCTCTCCTTTCAGCAAGATGGAGCATACTTAGGCCCAGCTTTACTAAGCATTTGCACCAGCTGCAAAGTAAAATAAAATCTGCGATAAGGAGAATGCGGACGGAATCACGGAATCCAGACATTAAAACAGATTTCAACAAAATTCAAAAATGCATTGAACTTAGTAGGGAATCAACTAAAGTTTATCATAAGACATGAACAGAATGCATCAGTGATTTGTATTTCCTGCAACTTTC